TGGAAAGGAACAAAGCTGGTATCGTACATGGATAAGGTTCTATGCCTCGATGGGGATGGCTATGCATCAGAGAGTGAAAAGGAAGATTGGATCTCCGAGCAGAGAAAAGAAGAAGAGGAAGAAGACTCTCCAGACGATGTGAGCATGGTAAGACCCTCTATGTCCTACATATGTTTACTCAAGGAAGCAGCATAAGGAAGATTACAATAAATGGAGGAACACTTTAATCATTAAACTGATGGGAAGAAAATTGCATCATGTTTTCTTATGGCTAAGCTTTATAGATTATGGAACCTAATGGGAGAATATAAGGTGATTGATATGGATAATGGTTACTCTCTAATCCAATTTCACAACAAAAGAAATTATCATCATGCTCTCCATGAAGGGCCATGGATAGTGGCTGACCACTATGTCATCATTCAAAGATGGAGACCCTTCTTTGACACTCAAAATAAGGAAGTCAAGAAGTTAGCAATATGGCTAAGGTTCTTGAGTCCCTACTGAGTTCTATACCATGCAACACCTATGGAGAGTAGGAAAAATCTTTGGGAAAACTCTTAAAGTTGACAAGGCATCATTTAGAAGAGAAGAAAACGGTGAAGGAGATATTGGTAAAGTAAGGTTTGCGAGAATATGCCTAGAGGTGGATTTGCGCAGAAGCTTCGTTTCTCCTTTCAAAAGTTGGGACTATGTTCACAACGTAGAAGTCATCCTCAATGTTGGCTATGGGGGGTTACATTTGATATGTTTCTCTTGTGGCCGCTGTGGACATCGCAAAGAAGCTTGTGATGGAGGCTTGAACTTCAGAAAAGAGAACTGTAAGTCTCCAACAAACTCGACTTCTCGAGGGAATGACGTCGAGACAAGTCAAGATAACAGTGACCCAAAAGTCATTCCGAGTGAAGATATCAACATGGCATAAAAGGAGAAACTCACGAAGAATGAATGGTTGTGAAGAGGAAAGCTAGAGGTCGAAAGGTGAAACCGGTAATGGAAACCATGGATGATGGGAGAAAGGAGCGTACACTGGTGCCGGTGACCAATCTCAAAGTGACAAAACTGAATGAGTGTAGAAGTCTCATGAGTAAAGACCTGATGGGCATTGCTAGCCCAAGACTATGTAATTTGATTCAATGTAATTTCCATTCTTTTCAAAAAAACAAAATAAATATATGTGATTGGTTATTGTATTTCCAAAAAAAAAAAAAGATTGGTTATTGTCGTCTAGACTGACTTAGAGGTTGCTCGTAAAAGAATGATTAGGTCACCATGAGGTAATCGAGGATCAATAATTTTTTTTTAGAATGAGAGTGAAAATAAAATATCAAAATTATGATTTTTTTAAATTAATATGAAGTATTAATTATTATTAGTATCTTTTTAGGAAGGGACCAATAATTAATATTAATAGTTAATATTATTATAAAATATTATTTTATTTGTATAATAAGAAGAAAGTTATACTTACAACCTTTTACAGTTACATCTCAACCGTTGATTTTCTTCAATCAATGGTTATTATTTTACAAATAAAATTCATTAATTAATTATTAATTTACAATAAATAATAATCGTTGATTGATAAAAATCAACAGTTAAGATATGATTGTAACATATTATAAGTATAATATTTTTCATGTAATAATAAAAAAAAAAAATTAGGCAGAAGTGATCGTGAATACTTGTTTCCCTTCAATCTATCCCTCGGTAGTCTCCCCTCCGATTTATGTGGATGTGCCTTGCTCAGATGCCCCGACACGCAACTTTTTGAAAAAAATACGTGTCGGATACGTGTCCGACACGGATACGTTTCGACACGCATCCGACACCTTTTTTTTTTACTCTTAATTTTATTTTACTAACTAAACATAAAAAAAATAATTTATAAATCAATTTTTTTCTGTTATGAAATTTTACATTAAAAATTAACAAGATACGAAATTTTTTTTGTTTATATGAAATTTGAATATTTGATTAGTTATATGACTTATTATGGATTGTTATATGTATTAAATATAAATTTTATTATATATATTAAAAATATTATTTAATATCAAAACATATCTCAACGTGTGAAAATATGATATTTTTTAAATTAACATATCGGCGTGTCATGTCATGTTGTATCCCGTATCAATATCTCTACATCATATGCCTTGTATAGATTGTTGGATTGCATATTTCAAAAAATGAAAGATGGAGAATGGGCACCAGGTGTATGACTATTGTGGGAGGTGGAGGAAAATATTGTGCCAAAAATAAATATTTATTGTAAATATTTTTTGAGATTATAACCTCTATATATCTAATGCGGATGGACATTGAGCCTAAAATAAGGTGCAATGAACCAGTTCAGAACAAAATAAAAAAATAAAAAATAATATATATATATATATATATTATTTTTTTAACCAGTTGATTGAATATTTTTTAAAATATTTATGTATAATTATTTTATTTTACTAATTAGTACTCTTAAAATAATTCACTCAGTCTTTTTTTTTTATACATAATTCACTCAGTTTTATCCCTTCTAATAAATTTTCTGATTTATATATTAAAATTGATATTTACTTTAAGAAAATATACTCGATATATCTCAACGACCTGTCGGATCGTTCTTATTTCGATTTATTTTTTTGTAAGAATGTATTTCATGTACTAATATGTTATTGTCACCCATTACAATGTGTACATTCATTAGTGAGATTATCACCATTTGGCATTAATCACTGATTTGACCAGTAAATGTATGGTTACATGTTATTGTTTCTGTTGATATATAAATACTCTAATAATAATAGGTTATCTGTCCATTCCAATGCTTTTTTAGGTCCAATCTGTTTTTTTAAGTAAAAACTCGTATTTTCTATCTTAAAATGTAATATCTTTCCCTATGGATCTGAAATAGCATTGTCTTCGACATCATAAATTAAACTTTAAAATGATGCCAAGTTGGTCTGCTGCACAAACTCTTGGTAGGGGTCCTTGTACGTCATAAATTATTACTATTTTCACTTATTAATGTTAATTTACACTGAAGCCTGAACCATTAATTTTTCTAAAAGAAAAAATATTTGTACACCAAAAAATATATGATTTTTATCCTTTACTAGTTTGAAAAAACAAATAAAAGAATAAGCTTTGAAGTATTTTTTTTTTTTATCATGTAGAAAGTTGTATAATTTTTCATGTGAAATATTAATTTTTTTTAGATTACAAAAATGATATGACAAGCATATCTTTAAAATTATTTAAATATTTAACCCCAATTACCGTACAAATTAATCTTAAAAAACTATTCAAAATAAGAAAAATGTATACCTCAATTTTTTTTTTTGGGTATGCAATGTATACCTCATTTTAATTCTACATTTATAGTAATCCACGTGTGAAATTTTGAATATTAATTACTAAAATTTTAAATCAATGCACGCTTGTTTCAGAATAATAATAATTTTATAATTTTTTTTTTATCATAAAGCTTAAAAATTTCCCCTCAAAATAAACCATGCACTTTATTTCCAACTTTTTGTTCAATTTAAATTCTCAAAACTCTTTCAATTATTTTAGAAACAAAAGATAAAGCCAAAGTGAAAAAGACTTTTTAACCAAAGAAGAAAAATATTGAATTCAATTTCAAGGTCCCCATTACTATAGTACAGAATTAAAAACTGTGCAGTACTGCTGCAGTTGTGAGTGTTTTTTGGAGCATCCTCTTCTATTCTGTGACCGAGTTGTGGGCCCAGTTAACTCAGTCAACTGACAAGGACCGTGACCCGTTGTCAGTTTTGATTCAATCATCACAGCTCTATTTTGTCGTTTTGTGATCACTCACTCTGCAAAAAAGCCTTTCACACTTTTTCCCTCATCTCTCTTCTCTTTCCGCGTTACTTTCCCTTCGATGCTCTGCCAAATGGGTATCGATTAACCTTGCCACGTAAAAAACAACGCCAAATCCCACACATATATTATATAGATATAATTTTCTTAGGAAAAGCCAAGTTCCAAAAAAAAAAAAAATTATACGAAAAGCCTAAAGGGTCTATATTCTTAATCATTTTCTCTATCCTTTATCATAGTTACCTAATTTTATAGGTGGGATGGTTTAATTTTTTTTTTTTGAAAAAAAAAAGAGACAGGTTATATTTACAAATTTTTTTATTTACAAATTACACTAAGTAGGACCGGTCCTACATTAATCACACAGTGTACGACCGGTTCTACTTAGTGTAATTGCAAAAAAAAATTGTAAACGGATCCTGTCCCAAAAAATAAAGTAACAAGTTTATTTTCAAATATTAAAATATTTAACAAAGTTTACATTAATATTTATAAATTATTTATTAAAAATTATAAGTTTCATAAATTGAATTTAAATCATACAGATAAAGTAACACTTGTGGATGCGTATACTTATCCTTTTTATAGTTAGTGTTTTAAATATTAATAATATTTTAATGTATAAAATTTACATTTTATTATTATTTTATCGTAGACATCATCAGATAGGATTTTTTTTTTACATATAACTCTAACAAATGATTTGATTTGGGACACAAAATTAATTACTAACATTGTAATAACACCCTAAAATTGAATTGCCAGCATTACAAACCGATGGTATTTAATGGTATGTATGTACATATTTGTATTGAAATGTATGGATGATTGATTCAGACACATTGAATAAATTCTGCAAATAAATTTTATTGTCCGTGCAAAACAGTTGTCTTAAACCATTAGTTAATTTAATTAAGAACATAACTCTTCACCTCATTCATGAATTACATTACTATTTCAGTCTCATTACCAAAAAGTGAAGAAAAAAAAAAGAAAAAAAAGAAGAAAGCACCGCATTGTAATGAACCATTGAGCAAAAATGGGGAAAGTACAAACACAAAACAATTCTGTGGGTAGATACAGTAATTGTGTAGTACATTTATTTATTTAGAGAAAGAGAAAGAGAAAGAGAAAGAGAAAGAGAGAGAGTGTGGAGTATTTCAGAAGCTCACTGCTTCGCTGATTTTGAGGTAATGTGTGTGTGTGAGAGAGAGAGAGAGAGAGAGAGAAGTCGTACTGCACAAGTTTCACACATTTGCCATTTTTTACTGCATTTGGGTCTCTTCTCTTCAACATCATCTCTGTGAAGTTTCCATAGCACACAGAGAAACCCAGGTGGGTTTCTCCTCAGATTCCTTCACATCTTTCTTTTTTATGGATTCTTTCACTCTCTGGTTTTCATGCGTCTTCACTGATTATGCCTTCTATATATTTTCATTTTGGTTTTGTTGGTGTTCGTGTTCTTTTGGGGGTTTCTCTGTCAGATGTCATCAACCATTTTCCTTGTGGTTGGTAACTCAGTTTGTATCATTAATCAATTTCATCTTTCAATGGTCTATTAGCATCAAAAAAGGTTTCTTCCCCTTTTTTTTTTTTGCATTTGGGGTTGAAGGGGTGAAATGAATGCTTCCATTTTTAGCTTTTTCATTTACTTATTTTCTTTTCTGGGTCTGTAGAGAATCTTGCAATTACAGTGGCCTTTGATTTTCACCAGTTTGATATGCATTCAAAGTTTTAATCTTTTTGTCAGATGTAGCTAGTTATGTAGCATTTTTTTTTTTTTGTTGATTATTGCTTCAATATGAAGTGAGCAAAGCTGAGTTGTATTTAGCAGGTGTTTTGAGATAATGCTGAGGAAGAGGAGCAGGTCACTCCAGAAGGATCAACACAACATGGGTCACCTGACAATCCCTGATGCTAATTCAGAAAACTATTCTCAGTCTCATGCTTTGGGGCACAACATCAAAAGCCACTCAATCTTCAATGTCCCTTGTCTCTTTGTGGGTCTGGATCCTAAAGGCTTGTTGGATTCTGATTCAGTTAGGAGCCCCACTTCTCCACTAGATGCTAGAGTTCTTTCAAATCTAGGCAACCCTGTTAGGAACCCAAGATCATCATCTCATGAGAGGCACCAAAGGAGCTGGGATTGTTGCAAAGTAGGTCTAAGCATTATAGAATCTTTGGAAGACTGTTCTAAGTTCTCTGGAAAAATTCTCAGGTCACCAAAGAGCAAGAAAATTAGTCTCAGTCCCCAAATGATGATCAAAACCCCAAATTGTCCAACCTGTATGGATTCTTTTGAGTCATCTAAGTCTTTACCCAAGGATTTTTGTAAGGTTCCTTATACCCAAAATGGATCTGTTATCCACAAGGGTGAATCCACTGTTCTTTTTGAGATTGGAGAAACTGGCCTAGAGCATCACCTATTTGGGAAAACCCGGTCCTGTTCATTGGACTCCTGCAGTCCATTGAAAACCCTCTCTGGTTTAACTACTTCCAACACTGATTCAGACACTGATAATTATTTTGCTTTGAAAGATATGACCATCCAATTGAGCTCTCCTCCTCATTTTATTGGAGGAAGCCAGAACTCAAATACCTTTCCACCAACAAAGTTGGATTCAAACACTGTTTCCATATGCTCTTCTAATGAAGTCATTAAGTCTCTATCAGCCACTGAGATTGAACTCTCTGAGGACTACACATGTGTGATTTCCCATGGCCCCAATCCCAAAACAACACATATTTTTGGTGATTGCATCTTGGAGACTCATTCTGATGTATTTAAAAACCATGTTAAGAATGAAGAGAAAGAGAAGGGAGTGGTGACCCTGGTGGGTAACAGGTTACAGACTCCAAACCAATATCCCTCAAGTGACTTCTTGAGTTTCTGCCACCATTGCTGCAAGAAACTGGAAGAGGGGAAAGATATTTATATTTATGGGTGGGTTAGCATTACTGAAACTTTTCTATTTTAATTTTAACAATTGAATTTGATTCCTAAGATTGGTTTCCTTTGATATCTTGCAGAGGTGAAAAAGCATTTTGCAGTTTAACTTGCCGTGCAATGGAGATAATGATTGATGAGGAACTAGAGGAATCCAACCCTCCTTCAGAAAACTCTCCAAAGCCAAAAATTGGTGAGCAACTTTTTGAAACAGGCATCATCACAGCTACATAAAAGCTTATCCACCATAGGCACTGAGGCCCATCAGAAGGGTATATGCGCTTGATCATCTGTTCACAATGAGCTGTTTCATGTGCATCTGTTAGCAGCCATGGATGATCGTTTTGTACATCATTGCGTTTGCCTGGAATTGGTGTTTCAGCTTTCATTGTCTTTGGTGGATTGTAGCTCTCATTAAAGCTAGTTTTGATTTCTACATAAATAGAGATATATGTTATCAAACTATTGATAGCCTGCAGATATTGAAGGGTTGAAGCCTATTTTTCTGGCTTCCCCTTTTGAATTTTTGTTGCATTATCTCTATATTATGTCAATGTATACAACCCAAACAAAGTTTTTGACTTCAAAGATATATTACTGTCCTAGTTTATACAACCTTTGCCATTTCCTATGAATTTTGGACTGAAATTCGGAAAACTTAAACGAGTGTTTTTGCCTTCTATTCTGTTTCCTTTTAAACTTTTGTACATCAAAGTTTTTTTGGTAATATATAATTTCCTAAAGTTTCGGTCAAAATGTTTTTCTTAATTTGCATCCCATAGTTGGGATGAAAGTGAGTGAATTAGTTTGCGAAATACTTAACAATCTTTTTTCCTTTTACTCCCTATACGTTTGCTATGCTTCTAAGAAAGTATTTGAGCTGTTATTAATTATAAACTAACTCTAAACAAGATGAAATAGAAAATAGCAATAATTTTCTTGTTTAGAATATGAAAGGTAAACAAGAATAACTACAGACAAACACACAGACGGAGACGTTACATAGCTTCCCTGACTTATCTTGTGTTCCGATGACGCATCAGCGTTCATTCTCTCTATTATTCCTTTTCCTTTTCGCACTTCTCTTTCTCTGCAAAGGTCATTTTTTACGTTATTTTCCTTTTTAATTTCATAGCTCAGCACTCCATTTACAGAATTTGGATGCTGTTTTCTATGCTTGATTTGCCGTCTCTAGGCAACTGAGTGAATGAGATTGCTAAGAAGAAAGTGTATAATCAATGGTTATTACTTTATTTAATTAAGCATTTGGTTATCAATTTAATTGATTGAAACGACCAAGCCATCACCTAAAGTTACCGAACAAACCAAAATCATACTCGAATGTTATTTTACTAGTACTTCAATTGCTTCCGACTTTTTATAAGCTCACCAATTTGGAAGGAAAAAAAAAAAAAAACTTACTATCACTTAATATGAAAGTTTGATCCTTTAACTCAAGGGAAACCGAGAATAAACACGGCATTCTTTCACAACTAAAGTTTCCCAAAATATCAAGCACATTGTGATCCCACACCAACCAATCATTATTTCTTACTTTCTCTTGTTGATTTTCCCGTTGTAAACTGCAATTCTCATTTAACACGTTGTAGCACTCAATCTCAGGTTATCATTATATCTGAGAACACAATCTATACGGGTATTTTTTATTTCAAAGCAATATCTCATGTTTTTTCTTAAAGGGAAAAGTGTTTATCCTTTTAAATGACACAACTTATATCATTTTACTCTCACAAAGAGGTAAGATCCACACCTTTATTTTTTTTGTCAACTCTCTCCTATTTTATCTCTCTCTTAAAATGAGATAACTTTACATCCTTTAAGATGATACACACTTTTTCCTTTCTTAAAATTGGGTTTATAAAGTGAATTGTGATCCAGACGGTATTAAGGTTTGTTAGCCCAACTTCAGATGCCACGAGAAGATGTTCATTAGTGTCCTATTACGGTTCTACAAACATATCATGCAACAAAGCTTAATTTAAAAGTTTACATTATCCCAAACATTACAAGGGTAATTGCATAATCACCCCAACCTTCAACAACCAACACGACAAGTTACGTCCGCAGACCCAGCGCTGCTACCCGACAACAAAATCAATAATGTTCTCTTCCTTGAATGTGGTTCAGCCTGCAGTCAAAATTCCCACACATGCATTTTCCTCATACTCAATGAAGGATACACTTGGGTTGGAATGAAGTGAAATCAAATGCAGGCTTAATGAAACCAATAAATAACCAATTGCCATTTCCACTTGCTCAGCCTCTTGTTTGTCGTGTGTTGTAGGATTTGCAGTTCAAGCACTTTTGAGCAACAAGATGGAACTGAACGTGAGAAGTTTTGCCACAATCATTGCAAAGGATCCAAACCTGTAGAAATGTTATATATTAAACCATTAATATAAATTCATACCAACAACTTAAGCTTTTGTGTTAATTTAGTTCTTCACATAGTATCAGAGCCTCGGTGTCCCAGGTCCAATCATCGCCGTCCACTATTTTCTTTGTGGAACTTCATAACACAGGTAGGTTAAGCCTGATGCATAATTCATCATAATTCACTTTTCAAGCCCAATGTGCTCTCTTGTGAAGGGACGTGTTACATATATAAAAACATTAATATAACCTCACTCGACAGTTTAAACTTTTGAGTTGAATCGGTTCTTTACGGAAATAGTTCCTTATAATCAATAGTTAGCTTTCTATTTACTTGCAAGAAGGGAAAAGGCAAACGCATAAAATTCCCAGGTCAACTACTAATTCATCATGCAACCTTCATTCTCTGCCATCCTCTCATTTGCATAACCACAAGGCATCAATAAAATCAAGGACTAGATATTACTGTTGCATTGTTAGCATGATGACATACAATACCCGTCATCATGAGAGAGGAAAAAAATGAATACTGACCATTTTATTCTGATAAGGTTCTGGCATGGGTGTAGCAGCAATCTCCAAGTCAAATTTCTCCCAAATTTTTGACATATCACAAACTGACTTCGAGCACAGAGGGCATGCATACCTGATGCAGAATCAAATACAAAGATCAGGAAAAATACTGCAATAGGATTTTAAGCAGATAAAAATGGACAAGAGCAGCTCTGCGATGATGGGGAAAAATACTCACTGGAAATGTTCCCTCATTTCCTTCAGGCAGCTCTCATGGATTGTATGTCCACAGGGCAAAACAATGACATCATTCATGGATTCAAACAAATACTGCAATCACCAATTTTGGTGTTACTTGTGTCAAACTCCAGCAATTGAACAAATTGGTAAAAGTCACAGTGCTAAAATAAATTGTAGAATGTTACCTCAAAACAAACGGGGCAATCATGATGCATTGCTCCTTCCACACAAGGGTGACTGTTTTTCAGCAGAGTTGAGTAGCAACAACCTATGGAAAGAAAATCAATGATCAAGTAGGTAAAGCATTTTAAAATAATAGTGTTTCTATTTACTAAAATGAATAGGAATGAAAAATATTACTTACCACACTTGTAGCAGTGGAAGAAATTTTCGCATCCTCCAGTTCTGTATTATAGCATATCAGAATCAATCAGTCTGAATTTTGAAATGAAATACATTCAATCTAACAAAGCAAAGTACCTAAATTGTCAAACTACATAATACTACATTGGAACCAAATGCAAAAACAGAGACAGGCTCTAGGATAGTTACTTTGACAATGGGATAGTTAACTTATTAGCAGTTCATACCTGCAGATTCCACAGCCACTGCAATGGTACTGCTGCTTAGATATCTGCAGCAGATAAAATAAATAAAATAGTATTATCATCCAACACATTCTATGTATCAATTTTCTGAAGAGAAAATGCTACATAATGGAAACCTGGATGGTTTAACAGTTCTTATGATCAATCCATCACTAAACTACATGCTAAAGTTTGAAAGAGAAAAGACACGGCTTGTGAACATGTCAGAGACAGAATAAAATAAAAATATAAAACATGAAAAGGAAAGAATCCTCAGTTCCAGGATTAAGAGCTTACATCATCATCAAAGAGCTTACATATCTCACAGAAATACTTGCCCATACAAACACCACAGTTGACACAGTTTTGCTGAACCTGGAAGCAAAGGAAATCAACACAAGAAAAAACTAAGTTCAAGGCGGATTCTAAATGATGCAAGTGGCATATTGCCCAGTTAATATCTTAGAAGCATGTCACGAAACTAGTAACTTTTTGTAGTTTTGCACAAAACATTTAGAAAAAGCCTTCATAGAGCAATACGCTTTAAATTTTCCTTTAACAATGCATCTTTTTTCTCTTCCTATGTCTAGTGATCTTGCACACTCGCAGAGGGCATTTCTCTCTCATTTGACAAATAAAAAAGATTTAACCCATCTTAAGCTAGTATTTAGATTTTTCCTTACAATTAACATAATACAATGGAGGACTAAACAAAAGAATAGTAAAGAAAATCTAAACTCACCTCTTGTTCGGTCCCACAAAGTGAACATATCACCTGAATAAATCAGAGTTATTCATTAGCATTGCCTCAATGGTGAGATAACCAAAGAGAAGAGGAGCAAAAAATTGTGGGTATTCTAATAGGTGGTATTAATATACATGAGCATACCTGTTTGACTTGATGGCGGGGAATGTCGTGTCTAAGCTTCTGATCAATGTTGATATTATTCTGCACAATAACATGATAGCAAAAGTAAGTTCCACCAAAAATAAATGGAATGCTACAACATAAGAATTTAAACATAGAATGTAGAATAAAATAAATACCTTTTTATTCTACATTCTAAGGCATAAAGTAATCTGAGTCTATTTGCACAGAGCTTATGGAGGCTCTATTAAACAGAAATTAGTCATTAAAACCTCAAAAAGCAGTAGATTGAATCGACTCATATTTGCCTTTCCAGTTTCCCCATCATTTTAAACTACTCAGTGACTCATACTTCTCAAATCAGTTCAGCGAAGAGTGCACAACCTTTTCTCGTAGGGAGGGCCACAAGATGACCCCAAAAATAAAAAGGCCAAGAAAAATAGAAATAAAAAGATCATACCATTCTGACAGTTCTATTGTCTACATTAAAAGAAATCCAAGAAAAAAGAGAAGGATTAACAAAGTTTGTCTTAAAATATGAAATAAGATAAAACCTTGTTATTTATGGCAACAAGCCAACCACCATAAATAAGTATTTGAAACAAAAAAACAACTATCGTGAAATACTAGACTGGGAAATGAACTTACTTTTGCCTCATTGTGACAATGGCGGCAATCAAAAATCTCATTGCAACAGGGGGCCCTAATGCGGCATCTTCTCCGGTAATGTTGACATCTGCAGGGAAAGCCTATGGTTTTAAAGGGAATGCAAAAATAAAACTTAAATAGCATAAATTAGTGTATGAACATGGAACTTTACCCATATTCCATATATCCTCTCTCTTGCAAGTCATTGATATTTTTGTGATCTGTTGATTGCCTTGACTCTTCTCCAAGCATGTGCTCTTCATTTGATGGTAGGTTATACACATCTTTCTCAGTCATATGCTTCATGTCATTGCACTCAAACTGCAGAGGCTCAGAGTGCATTACTACCACCTCTCCCATGATGCTAGCTATCTTCAGATAAGATTATAGGCTAACTAGAAGCAGGCAATAAGCCTAGGGACCTGCATGTATGAACATATTTAGAAATAATCCTAGAACTTCTAAAGGCATAGTTTGTCACCCTAACAAGCCAGGAAAACACCGAATGCACTGTTGTTTTCTTCTACACTGCCGCAGATCAGTTGAAAGCAGCAACAACAAAATCGAATTAACGTTGGCCAGCTGCAATCAGTAATACTCGAAGAGGGAACACACCAAAACAAGTGCATATACAATAATTCCACATAAAACTACAATGTAGCACTGGGGTACTTGACAGCCTCCAGCAGTAAATGGAAACCAGTAGCATTGAATGATCACTTGAATCCTTGAACTCCTGGAACCAAATCCAACTATTCTGGAGCCAACAAGATGCTCCAACCTATGTTAAAAGCAATAAACCACTCAATCAAATGCATTCCAAATAACGAAAATATTGTATATATGTCTTGATTTCATTGTCCATGAAGGACAAGCCTACCTCGGCAGTTCTGCATTGACTCCTCCAAGAACTGAAACTTACCAAAAGCAAATACTTAAAAAGAGGTTAATTAGCTGGTTGGTCTCTATAGTTTCACTAGATTTTCAAATAAACCCTAACGGTTTAAAAGTTTTTGACAGGGACCCTTTACTCAAAATCATCTGCAGGTCATTCCATGTTGTTGTTATAGGGGACTTGATTATTAGATTTTATATTTAGTAAGGATTTAATAGAAAACTTCGTCAAACTACAAGTACCTACTTAAAAGTTTTAGAAGTATAAAGACCTTGTTAATAACTTCCAAACTACTAAGAAACATTTAATCTTTAATAAATTGCATCCTCTCTGCAACTTGAGTATCCCTTTGGGTCAAATTAGACTGAAAGAAGATTTGGTATTGATAATTATGGACAGAAACAATATATATGTAATATCAAGCCAACGATTTCACTGTTCATAAAGGAAAAGAAATAAATGCATAATCTTCATGAACTTTGCAAAAGGAAATGGTTTCAAATTGTATATACTTTGTAGTTAAAAGATATTGTAGACGAAAGGTGCGGGTAAGGGTAATAAAAGATGTACATTTTGGTTCACTCTTCCCTTCATGAATACAGAGTGTCCTTGTAATGTTTACTTTCTGCACACTTTGCATGCAGATTGCATTTTTTTTTTTTTTTTATAACAAGATTGCATTTTATATGCACATTTGCACACGCGACCGGAACCAACAAAATTACATATCCACCTAGAACATTCTGAAATTTTCGCTCTAACAAATCGCACCTTACCCATCCGGTATAAATGGGAATGAAATGTCCACTTATTTTTATTCATTTTCAAGGTTTGATGTTTCTCAATCTCCTACTTTTTGGGATCCATATTTTCAAACGCATAAAGGGACTACTGAATAGGAAAAAAAAATAGTATTTAAAAGAGAATATAAAATAAAATACGGATGAAAAGGGCAAATTTTCTATTCAGTGAAAGAGACGACCGAATTTGGTGATTCCTGGGCATTGAAATTTGACTCAAAAGGAACCATCACCGGCTAACGTATTTTACTTTGCCAATATATACCAATAGTTAATCATTTTAAGTCTCCTTGTTCAAGAGTTAAATACTACCGCCTACCAACGGCGTTGGCTCAAGTGGTAAGGTAGTTGAGTTCGCTTGAGCAAGGACTCGAGACCTTGTGTATGCAGAAAATCCTCGCTGAGAGACTCAGCTGCCAATGCTAGGTAACCTAGCGGGTCGGACTGGACATAGTCAGGACAAAGCCCCGAAAACCAGTTGAGCAATAAAAAAAAAATACTACCGCATGTTAACTACACTCATTTGAGAATTGAGCTCCCAAAGATTTATTTGAATCTTTCGGATTCAAATCATGGCTCAAGCAAATTCTTAAACAATCTTTGGAGGCCATGCACTCGCTGTTTCAATGAGGGGCTAGGCTTCAGTACCACAAGATAACCGGAAGAGAAGGTTGAACCGGGATACTCAAAGTTATAAAAATAAAAATAAAAATCTAACTATGTCAGAGATTGAGATTGGTAGGTAAAATAAACACTATAACATGGCGTGTTATAAAACACTAAACAGTGAACTTCTACCAAAATGCAAGATCAACCGACAGAGTAATCGCAAGCTATAACGTTCAATAATTGACCATCCAGAAAGATCAACAGATACATATTCGGACGGGAAAACTTAAAAAAGTCCAATTCTTTTGCCGGATCCTTACAACTATGTAATAGCTAGCCAAGCAAGAAACTCAATTGCTAAGATTTAACAATTGATATCATCAATCAAACTATATTTTTGAAAGCATAAATGTAAGGCATGGAAATGATGCTGGATTTCTCATCTCTGTACAGGAACCAAAGAGAAGACAATAATCATTCAAACACAAACAAACATAAGCAAGAACGAAAGAAAGAAGAATGGCACAGAATTTGTCACAGAACAACGAACTTTCCAGTTGGAGAGAGAGAGAGAAGGGGGGGCTGGGCGATCCAATTCCAAACAAAAAATAAAAGACCAGTGCGGGTCTTATTTTCGGAGCTCCGATTCGAATCTCCCTAACCCGACCCAGCAGACACAAGATGAGGAGAAGGATCACGAGGGATTCGAAATCAGAATGAAATGGAATTTATAGTCCCCAACACAAACACAACCTCTGGCTTTCCAAAGCCTTCGAAAAAACAAAACAAAAGCTGTCATTGCTTTTTTTCTGTCACAGATATCTGCACGCTGTTTCAAAACGGCCACGTCGCTGATGAATGGATACGTGTCATCATCAGAGGGACATAAGGACAATAATATTATGCGTCAGGGTGCACAGTGCACCGTCCTACACCTTACCTTTCGCATGGTCGGTTTGTCTTTCGCACAAGATTCTTTCAAGTAATCATTTCAATGTCTCTACTATCTAAAATATTATAAGACATGGTCTGTCCTCACATTAATCTGCATATGCTTTTTCTTTTTTTCAAGTAAGTTCCTTTCTTTTCTTTTCTTTTCTTTTGCTTTCTAACCATTCAATTTCAAAGCTTATCTCTCGAGATGCAATTAATTAACCAAAGTAAAATGCATGAAATTATACCGTGAGATTCAGCTACTGATAATTATCTACTTCCGTGGATATTATTAGTTAGATGGAATCAAAGCTCAATCTAATTGGCGTTAAAGTATTAACTTAGTCAACGTAGTTGCTTGGCTTCGTTAGCCTCTAAAATCTAGCTTTACGAAACGAGACCGGAAGTGCTATCTGTATGCCAAGTGGAAGGCTTTCGTTTATGACATTCTCAATTATTCGTTTCGTGACAAAGATGGCTTTTATAAACCGAATTAATAATTAAAAAAATGTCAATCGTTGCAAGATTCATCGAACATTTTGGTGAGTAATAGTTTTGTCTACACACGAATTCTTGCATAATTTTACACTCCGCTTATTGGACAACAAGTCTATATACATTTGCCACGTTTAAGGACCGACTGATACACAAACGGTTTTATTACGGAAAATATATGAGAGCAAAATAAACATTCATTTATTATTAAAGGATAAATTTGACCACATATTGGCGACACAGGAAATGTCTCAGTTCTGGTATGCGTAAGAATTATTATTACTCTTTATGTTTAACCATTTTTTTTTATCTGAAGTTACAGTAACTGTAACTTCAGATGAACTATAAAACTTTGGATTTTGCTTGTGCATCAATCCTGCCTGTGGTATTTGTCTCTTACCTACAAACCAAAACAAATTACGTCAACAATTTTGTCAGGGTCTGATCTATTGAACTGGCCATATCTATGACTAGGGGGGGCTAGGGAATATTGAAAAATTATTGGTCTGCGTGATGTGCAATCATGTCATATTTTTTATCAAATGCAAGAAAAAAAAATTCAGGATATGTCATCAAGTAACATGCCTAACCCAAATGAGCGTACTCCCTTGGGTAGAAAGAAAGAAACATGGTGCCCTTTACTTGAATTTTTCAACCTATCTCAGCTAACCATGGAAGTCTTATCTAGTAATAGCTCTTCTTGTGATGCTCTTGTTGAACTACAGTTCAATTAGGGTGGATTGGCTCATTGCCTATGCACACGTCTTTATCAACATATCTTTGCACCTTTTATTACGTGGCATCCGACAATAACGATTTATCCTACACCAAGAGACGCCGTAACTGAAATTACGGGATTCCTGGGAACCACATGACATGAATATCTCCACCTTCAATAATAAAGACCTGCAAATCATCGAATAATAGGGACATGTAACAAATCCACAAATACTGTATGGTAGGAATAAAAAATGAAAATGCCAATTTAACTGTTAGTTTGCTTCGGTCTAGTGCAAAAGTTGAATGGCTCCATGCAAGTGCCATGCAACCACCACATAATTGATATTTTCAGTTGTGAATGATAGCTAAGAAGACAACTAAGTAGATTTCAAAGCAACTTCAAGCTTTAGAGGGAAATGCGTCAAGTCATAGAATATCTACAGAGCCCCGTCATCAAATTTGAATAATACCTCAAATTCTGGTAATCACCATCTGCAAGGCGCATGCTGACACAAAAACAGTGGATCAAACTTCCAATCACTGCAGCCAGAAGATCAAGATCATTTAGGTTAGTTGAAAGGAACACTAGCAAGGAAATATTTACTAAATGATATTAGGTACAGTGAATATAAAGCAAAGCACTGAGATGAAATGTAATATTGGATATAAAAAAAGCCTAGATGATTTGATCTGCAAAGCACCATGAAGTTTCAATGCATGTTATGTACCTCAACATGATCCTGAGCGTTTTGTTCCTTCCCTTCTCATTTCTTTTGGCACCCTGGATCTGCTCTTCCTCTAAGCGGGGAAAGCATATGATTGTATATAATGTCTGCCAGACAACAGCCTCAAATATGCCGCTATGCAGAAGCCACCTCAGACCTCCAATAGCCCCAGATACAACCCTAGGTCAAGCTCCACCTACACTGTAATTGGAAGGTCAAGATCTTTTTAGCTTGCTCGAAAAGAACCCATGCATGAGGAAAAAAGATAACACAAGGAAACAGGTAGTACTTGAAGAAAATTACTTCGGCAAGTAGAGGTTGTGGCTTCTGAACTGAATAGTTGCGGAACGTTCTTAAAAGCAAAATTTTATCATTTTTAATTCTTGCAAATTGATTGCTCTAGGATCATGAAGTAGTCTTAGCCGCATAAGCATAAAAATGAGCATTAACCAGAAGACAGTCATTCTCCTTTCGAAAGTAGCTAGTCACTAGAGGCGCCGAAGAAGCAGAGGATTTTCAGCCATTTGAGAACTTAAATCAGGGGCTAAAGGCTGGAGTAACCCACTATTGGACAAGTCTTCCAATGCTTTAATGTCTTGTTGCAAACGAGCCACATGTAGAATGGCATGATCAAGAACCAAAGGATCATCTGGAGAATTATGGAGAAGGGTGAGCAAAGCCTGATTATAAACTTGAGCAGACAATAATGGCCTTGCAACCTGTCGACTTCTACAGAAAGTTGCCACCTTGATGACATGTTTACAGAGGTTTCCCAGCCTAGACCAGGAACAATCACAGAGTGAAAATTCTGAACCAGGATTCCAAACTGTATATGCTAAACTTCTGTCAGTTTGAGATAAAATTTTTGCAAGATGAAGATTTTGCTCATCCAATATTACATCAACATCTGGAATATGAAGAGCATGATACCAAGCATTACTGGAGAAAGAATTGTCCCGTAGATTCTGTAAATAACCAGTCTCTAAACTGTATTGATCTAGCCAGTATATCGAGTGAAATTCTGTAGTTAAGGTGTGGATTAACCAGTCAACTCTTGGCCAGAAATTAGCATAAGTCTCCTTCAAAAGCGTGGACTTTAATTTTAGGTGATAGAATTCTATTGCAGCATGTGGCTCGGGAGTTGTCACGGGGAGTGACTTTATGCCATTAATCCACATATCTGCATTATAAAGCATATTAATACTAATATTCAAGAAAAAGTACTAATGCTCAGGATATTCAAACGATTGGATACTGCAGTAATTATAATGAAAAAAATTGGCCAATTGTAGAAATACTAGTGTGAATGTTGGCAGTAAAAATTAAGGCAATCATATAGAGATGCGACTGAGAATGAAATAAATTGAATATAAAATCTGAATAGTGTTGAAATAAAAAATGATTACGATGTAAGACTACTACAGCAAATGCAGATACTTCTTCAATGAATACAACAATAAAAATCATTGTAAAAATACCTATAGTTGCTAGCCAATGGCTCTTGAAATAGTCCATGAAAGCACACTGGTCAACAAAGATTTGCATAAGCTCTTCAACAGCATCCATAGCATTTGGCCCACATCTTGTACAGTACAGAATCCATCCCAAATGCCTAAACATCTCCCGTTGCACCTCGAAGTTGCAGCATTTCTTGAAAAGCTTTTTTATCCAAGTACGGCGAACATGCCAGGCACATAATAGGATGCGACACTGGAAAGCCTCTCTGCAATATGCAAGATCTCGCTCCATTTGCTGTTAAGGTGGGTTCTCCTAAAAATACAAAGAAGTCGAATGGAACTAAAAAGAACCACACCAATCTCTTTACCTTAAGATAGAATAGTCAAAAGATGGATCATCTAACAAAATAGCATTAGGCCTCCATCTGGGATCCTTGGTTCGTAATCTTTCACATAGCAAACCAATCCACTTATGAATATCTTTACCGACAAAAGATGAAGTGATGATCCAAGCAACTGGAATTGCATTTTGGGATGAATCGAAAACAAGTAAAGAACATACCAGATACTGTCAGGGACAAGAAAGAAAAAATATAAGACATTATAAAATCCTTCAACATTCTGCTGAGATAATTTCTTATCAGAAACAAAAAGAGGGAATATTTTATTCATGATTATGTTTATGAAACTGGTTAATTGCTAATGATCTAGACAGTTTCTAGATGTACATTGTACACCATATGTTTCATCTAAACATGTTTTTTCCCATCAATGTTTATCCTAATTAAGCTAAAAGTTATACCCTTTGTCCAGTCCTTCCATCAGGTGTAACTAACTCCATAGTAAAATGTGCATAAATATTTTCCTTTTTCAAAAAGGTAAATACAAAAACAATGTCCAATACCTTAAGCTTCTTCAAGCCAAATGTTGAATGAAAAGAAATGAAACTACTATTTCCATAACGAAGCATTTGTTGCAGCTGCCAATCTGTCTGTATACCCAAAACAAATGATTCTGATCCCAAGTTATCTTGGAAATAGAAAACATGCTTCTGATGTCGCTGGACCCATATCTTTACACTGCATTCATCATTTCCCTTTAGCTCATGTGAAGAATTACGAATTGTCCTTTCCATGTTACGCACATCATTTCGAGTGAGAAAATCATCACGGTTTTGTGGCCCACCTTGCTTCTGCATCACCTCTGCATGGTGCTGTATTATATTGTCCAAAGATATTCCAACATAAAGCATAGACATCACTTTCTGGCGTAACTCATCTGAAATTCGAGGAGCATACATAGCTCTTGTCCCTACTGCATCCCTGTCAAGTATTCCATGACACGGTGCCCCTGTTTTATCTACATGCCTTCTTTGGTTATATATGATTAGGGCAAGGAGGGGTCGTGTGTATAGTCTTTTAACAGTGAAATGACAAAGGCAGCCTCTCATCATGTGCCGCCTCCCTGGCCTGCTCCCCTTCCCTGAAGCAGGTTTGCTGCTTGTGCCATCCCCTACACCTGAATCGCTCTCTCGGTATTCTTCAGGACCATAAGAACACCAGTATCTAAATATCCATGTATAATTATACATAGTTAATTAGATGAATCTTTTCAGATTTCAAGACAACTTCTGGAAATAGTTGGGATGAAAAATAGTAATTTAGATAACATAACATTTCCCTCCCTGAATGTTCTCTTATCACAATTCAGCTTCAAATCACATAAATTCAACATCAAAATCGATTTCATCTTAAATATACTAAACTCATTGGGGTCGTCAGTTGATAAACCAAAATTAAAGCAAGAAAAGATTAAGGGAAAAGAAATAATAAATAAGAATACATGCATACACACACACACACACATATATATATATATTTATATACTTTGAGCAATGGTAAGGTTGCTCCTTGTGACCAGAAGGTCATGACTCATGGGTTCGAATCTGGAAATAGCCTCTTTACAAAAATGCAAGGATAAAGCTATATACAATCATTGCTCCTTGTGACCAGAAGGTCATGGGTTCGAGTCTAGAAATCGCTTCTTTACAAAAATGCAAGGATAAAGCTGTATACAATCAATCCTTACCTCTATCCTCGCAAGTCCGGGAGCCTTGTGCACTGGTTTTGCCCTATATATATATATAATAAATAAAACATAGAAAAAATATATCCCTCCAAATGCTAATATTTTTCCTTCACTTAGGTTCTAATACAATCAGCATGCCAATCTATTTCACACTTTATTAAATCTTATATTACTACTCACCGCAGTAAGTTATAACAAGAAAAGAGTCACTGAGTTAAAGATTAAAACAGCACAGTACAGAACCAAGTATATTTTTGTAACATAAGTTAATAAAAACAATTCAAATAAAAAAGATAACTTACAGTGTATATTCAAGATAGCCATCAACCCTTGGTTTAGCGATGCTGCCAACAGGTCTTTTCCTTCTTGATTCTATGCGGAAGCTAGCAGGGCATTCTGGATTGGAAGATTCACCTTTCACAAAATCATCAACTCTGGCAAAAGGAATCAAAGCAATATCATCACCGCCTTGCCGACCACCTTCTAATTTTACCCAATTTATATGAGCAGCAGAGAACTCCGTACAAGGAGGGTCTTGCACTGGAAGGTTTAAAATATCTTCCATTCTCGGCATCTACAATTCCAAACAATAAATAACATAAGAGCCATTTTATGAACTTACACTTCAAGGTTTTAAAGCTTCAACCCAAGATAAGACTCAGTACCTACGATTCTTACCTCACATTTAAAATCATATATACATTCTTGAAAATTAAAACGTGTAAACTCATGTAACACTAACAGAAGAGAAATCTTGATGAGAAATTTTTTGAAGTTTACCTTTGTTGCATTCGAATTGCCAAAAGGTTTGCACCGATTTTAGATTAACAAGAAGAACAACTCGCAGCGAGTGAGAAACAGTGAAATGGATCTCTTCGTGAGAGTGGATGATACCGAAAAGAAAACGAGACACAAACAAACAAGTGTAGCCGCGTCCTGTGCTCATTGCTATCAGTTCAGATGGGCTTGTCAAGCCCAACCATAAAATCCATGAAAGAGTTGGGCTTCAGTTTGTCAATTTTGTTTGCTAAATACAAAAAAATAAATAACTAAATACAATAGTAAATGGGAAATCATTTTTTATGTTGTAGGAAAAGAGTTATTTCATAGAATAAAAAAAATTATAAATGAAACCTATAGGTAAGAAGAGAGAGAAAAAAGAGAGGTCAAATCCACCTCTATTTTGTGTGCTAAAACTTTGTTTTTCTTATATAAAATGAGAAAAATAGAACCCATAGTAAATATTCAAACAATATAGTTTTTTTTATTTTTGAAAAACAATATAGTTCGATAGTGGCAGATTTGTAATGCACATATTTTAGGGTTTGTTTGAACGTGTTTTTATTTTTTGCTTTTCAGAAAACTGTTTTGAAAATTTTCAAAACTGATTTTGATACTAAAACAACAATAAAATTTGTTTGAGTATAGTTAAATTTAAAGTTACAAAAAAGTTATAATTATTTACAAAATTATTATTAATGAAGTTTCATAATTACAAGATTGCAACCCAAATTAATTTAAAATTAAAAAGAAATTAAATGTATTTATAAAAATACCATTAAAGAATCATCATATCTACATCATTGCAATCGCAAAACTAAAAAAAATCAAAAAATAACTTTTGAGAACATCCCTGGGTTATTATGCCTTTTTAGTTTTTAAAACAAAAAAATATTGTTTTTGGAATTATTTTTCAAAACAACCATTTTCAATTTGGTTTTTTATTTTTTTATTTTGAAAAATCAAAAATTGTTTTTCAAAAGGTTTAACTTTTCTGTAGTTGCTACAGAAAATTTGTGCCATTCTTATAAATAAAACAGAGGATCCCACAAAAAAAAAAATGATAGGTCCCATGTAATAGAGTTCGTTTAAAAAAATTTGTCTATGTAATCCCAAAAATATATTATATGTTCAGCGTAACAGATAAAAACCTCTGCATGCATAAATATTTTTCCTTTTTGAAAATAGAAATCAAAACCGGCCCTAAATTGCTGACAGATTCCCCTTTTCGTGGAAGCACGAATTGATTAAGATAATGAGAAATATATTAACATTTTAATCAACGGATTAGTGCATTATTAAAATCTAAATGATACGATTGGGTGGAAAGCTACACAAGCAAGTGAGCGATCAAATCTAAATAATAAATGAATTATCAAAAAGCAAGTGGAAAGTGACAAGAAGCGTCGTCACCTTGGCCAGACGCGGCGAAAATCACCGTTTAGGTTTTGGCCTCTGCAATAAGATCAGAGTATTGGTTTGTTTAATAAAAATAGTACTATTATAATTATGGGTTTGTTTTTTCTGATGTTACTTTAGGGAACTTTATCTGATGTTCATCAAAACGATGTCGTTTTGGGACGGAAATCATGATATTTTTGTAATTTTAATTTATTTCAGGGTTATAATAGTCTTTATCACTCTAATTTTTTAATTTTTCAACTCCAAAACGACATCGTTTCTATGAACATTAGATAAAGTTATCTAAAGTAACATCGGAAACTTTTTTTCCCTATAATTATAAGAGAGGGAGAATTGACCCACCTATAGAACAAGTTTAATGTTTTAAGTGAGTTAAAATTGAAGTGTTATTCAGTATAAAATCATTTTATAATATCGTTTAACATTATATTTATATCTCATTTAATAATTTTAGATGTATTAATAATTACATAAGTTGTTCAATTCATTAAGGATGTGATAACACATCATTAGATACTATTATATTTTTTTGTACACTAATAATGTATCAATAATATTGTATTCAAATTAAAATTAGTTTATATCTAAGTTATTTTTCTAGGATAAGTATTTTGTAAAATCTATTTTTAAAGTAAAATTTTATTCATGTATATCAATTCATAAAACTTTTAAATTTTATTAATATTAACTATCAATAATCAGTTTGTCTGAAATCTTTATATATACTTTTATAAATAAAATGATTTTATAAAAGTAATTGAATAATTAAAAGCATGAAATGAGTTTTTCAAAAACTACACCATATATTGCTTATATATATATATATATATATATATATATATATATATATATATAAGGATAGAATCCGTTTACAATTTTTTTTTGCAAATTACACTAAGTACGACCGGTCGTACACTGCATGATTAAAGTATGACCGGTCGTACTTAGTGTAGTTTGTAAACAAACAAATTTGTAAATATAACATGTCATATATATATATATATATATTTTCCTTTCTCATTTTATTTTATTTTAAATTTTCACTATCGTTCAAGGTGTGATTTTCTTTTTTTAGCATATCTTAAAAGTATCCTAAGGTGTACTTTTAAATTAAAAATATTATCTTTTTATTTAAACATTAAAAATAATATCTATTTAATCATATCTTTTAGTGTTTAAATTGTTTATATTATATACATAATTGGTGTGACGAAAATGGAAAATACAAATCTTCTAATACGAGCTTAATTTAATTGGACAGACCATAACTTAAGATCCATCATTACACCATACTTTTAGAACGAATGCATTCTCCTCTTGGTTACCACCAAATGGATTCTTTCTTTTTAATTTTACTGTATGTCTTTAATTTATCATATTTTTCGGACTTTTACTAAAATGAGCAATGCAATTCATCTACCTTTGAAAAAAAATATTAAATTGATATCTTCAAGTTGTATTTTATATAAACATATGGTAATTACGGTAACATATTTTTAGCTAATTTAAAACACTGAAAGCTCGTCAATAATTTTATAATCCAGTGGCACACCGTTTTTTTCCAATAAGCACTTGATTTCAAAGTCAATTCCTACCGAATCTCATCATTCACATTTAATTTAACATATCTTTCTTAATATTTTATTAGTATCTAGTTTGATACCCCAAATAAAAACCCAATAAAATATAAATAAAATAAAAGGATCGTTCCCAATTTATAATTTAGTATTTAAATGAAATAATTATCTTTTATGAGATAAACAAATTAAATAAGTTTAAATAAATTTATATAATAATTGAATTTAGTTTATTTTTATAACTTAATAAAAAATGTTAAATTTCATTATGGGGCATGAAATTATCAATCCTAACATAAAGTTATTATTTCGTACTTCTTGTTTTAGCAACAAAATGCTTATTTTGTGAAATAAAGCGTGCGCATAGAAAAGTATTTTAAATTCTCTAACAATTTGCTTACCAAAAAATAAATAAATTCTCTAACAATTTTAATACATATCAATTCTTCTTGAACCCATTTCATTTAATTCTTATTGCATACTATTTCTTCCTGATTTTGATTATCTCAATGTTAATTTATATTTAGTTTATAACAAACATTAATAAAAAGGCTTACAAAAAACATGAATGATGTGCACCGTGTCGTGAATTGCCATAATTATCATTTCGAAGCTTTAATATTTATAATGTCACGCTTTGCTATTTATGATAGTGTCTAGTGTCTACCAGCAATATGGTGGTGCTTTCGATAGATGTGACAAATAGGTCAATGAAGGAAATGATTATTCAATTTAATCATTGATGTAAATGAAATGGTCATGACATGAAATCCCTGGTGACAGTGGAAATAAGCAACGTTTTGTGCTTTGATTTAACACTAATGGCGTTGGGTGCATAGAATTGAGGGTGACGTTGCAAGTAATGGGGATGAACATTGAGTGGTTAGCTTAGTTGATTACATTAATATTGATGCGGGAATTTAGGGTATGAGCGAGAATAGTATTAATTATTTTCAACAGTTTACATCTAATTTAAATTTTTAAAATATTTTAAGTTCATTTAATGACATATATTCTCATCGTGTATTACATTTGAACGGGCTGATGTAATAATTTCAATGTAAATGCATTTTTCTTATGCTTTATACACTATTATGTTTTTTTTTAAATATTGCATGAATAATTAAATATATTAAAAACGGAAGTATTCAATATTTTAAGAATAAATCAAGTTTAATATTTTTATTAATTAAGATATTGATTTTGTCTTAACCGGTAATTAACAAAGCATATTTTAGTGTAACTAAGTTATAAAATATTTATGAATTGTTATCTTAATTAGTTGTCAACTATTTTGATGGTTGTTAATTAATAGCATTTTGTGAATTTTAAATATTTATTACAATAACTAACTATTAACATTGAGTACAATCTCGTTGTTATTTGGTTTTGATTTACTGTTTTGTTTCTCCATCATTGGGTTAACTGTCTGTAATCTTAAAATATACAAGTTATATTCTTTTAGTTTTTAACATTATGAAGTGTAAAATATAATTATAATATAAAAATTTCTTTTTTTTCTCTCTCTCCACGATCAATTGAGGGACCGAGAAAAAAAATAAATTTTCATATTATAAATATGTCTTACCGATAAGACATAATATTAAACATTAAAAAGACACAAAATTATATCCTTTAAAAACATAAAAAAAAATACTTATAATTTAGGGATAATCATTTCTCATGTTACATGAGAAAATATTAATCTCTTACACTCACAAAATAGAAGAAAGATGAGAGAGAATAGATGGAAGAAAAAAATATAAAATAAACTCCACCTTTAAATTATGTGTGTACAAATAACATGAAAACCCTATAATTTAACCACTTGAATCTTTTCTTAAAAAAAACCCACAGATGAATCTTGAATCTACAACCACGTCAACTCACCTAAACAGACCACGATAAACAGTACACCGACGCAACAATTCCCACAACTCTTACCTCATATTTTTCACGCAAGTATCATGCTATAGGCAAGCCACCATCAAACCCATGGCCATAGCCACAAGCATTAGAAATCCAAACATTCAACCCATGTTTTCCCTCACCTAAATGAAGCAGCCAACAACCATAAACTTAGCCATTATTAATCCTTCCATCATCACTGCAAACAAAACCACCCTCCCACTCTAAACAATCATCTCCTAAACGCCAGAGTCAGAAAATTTTATCAAAAAAACATAAAAGAGTTGTGACTATATTCTTCTTTTTTTGAGTTATAATTTCGTGCAACAAGAGATAAAGTCATCTCAATTAATTCCAAAAATACATCACACATATTAATAAAGGAGTTTGCATTCATTAATTAACATGACCACAAAAAGTTTCCTACACACACAGTATTTTGTGGGGGCCCGCATGTTTTGAAGAGAAAAAAAAATACGGCACGCAAAATGAATCTCTATAACATAACATAATCATTTTTTTTACAACATAACTTTTATAAAATCCATTAATAAAATACTTTGCATTTTATTTCAAATCTCAAAACAGCATCGATTTGAGTTGAAGAAGATAATTTTATCTCAAGAGAAACATGAATCCCTATAATTATTTATATAATGAAAAAACTGTAAAAAATAATTTTAACCCAAAAAATTTAAATTGTTAGAAGAAAGTCAATTAGTAACTTTTATATTATATTTTTCTAACGCATTTCCTGATATGGCTTGAAGGAACAATACATCATATTTCACCTACCTATAATAAAAATTCTCAAATATTTAATTATTATTTGTAATAAAAGAAGAGTGTTAATGATCAAATTTAAGGCACTTAGTCACAGAAATTTTAAACAGAGAAACCATTAGGTGAAAGCCAATTATAATTATATATTATATTTTTTTAACAAAAATATTAAAATAATACTCAAAACTAGAGGCTTATAACTTCGGGGGAAATAATCATTATTCATATGACTGTAAAATATTAAAAATAATACCCACAATTAAAAGACTGAGAGTTTTTGAGATCAGATCGATAGTCTACTTTAAATAATCTCTCCACCATTATCTTCAATAATTTTATTAAATATTACAAATCGAAACTTTTAATAAATGACATATATTAACATTTTTAACAATAATACAAGAAAAAAATGTTTGCCATTTTAAATGACACAACTTGTGTCATTCCACTCTCATAAAAAGGTGGGACCCACATCTTAATTTTTTTTGGTCCACTCTATCTACCCTTTTATGATTTATCTATCTTTTTTTCTCACTTAAAATAACATAACTTTACATCCTTTAAAATGATACATATTTTTTCCATAATATAAAATTAATTATTATAATTAAATCAAACACATTACTAATATCAATATTGCGTGGGAGAGGAGAATATGTGTGTGTGAATAAAGGATTATTAAATAAGGGAAATGTTAATTTAAAATGAAAAGCCACATTCGACTTTAGAACCGTCTCTATAAATAAGGAATTCCCCGATCTCTTTTCTCATGCCAAAACCAAAACCAAAACCAAAACGAAGAACTTGTCTCTTCCATGGCATCTCCGATCCCTCCTCCGATTTCAATCTCAAACCCCACCGAAGCTATCCAAAATAATGTTCCCCCTTCAACGACAAGTTTGAGTACCGTACAGAAAGTGAAAAGCAACTTGGTTTTTCGTTCAAAATGGTCCGAACTTAATGGAGCCATGGGGGACCTAGGCACATACATACCCATAGTACTTGCACTCACACTATCCAAAAACCTCAACCTTGGCACCACATTGATTTTCACTGGCATGTATAACATTGTCACTGGTGCCATTTATGGTGTCCCCATGCCTGTTCAGCCCATGAAATCCATCGCCGCCGTGGCCCTCTCCGACACCGGCTTCGGTGTGCCGGAGATCATGGCCTCCGGCATCTTGACCGGAGCTGTTTTGTTGGTATTGGGTGCTACTGGGTTGATGCAGCTTGTGTACAAGCTCATTCCTTTATGTGTTGTCAGGGGAATTCAGTTAGCACAAGGCTTGTCTTTTGCTTTAACTGCTGTTAAATATGTTAGGAAAGTGCAAGATTTACCAAAGTCTAAATCTTTAGAGGATAGGCATTGGTTTGGGTTTGATGGGTTGGTTTTAGCCATTGTATGTGTTTGTTTTATTGTCATTGTGAATGGTGCTGGTGATCAGGATCAAGAAGATAGTTCTAGTGCTGCTGATTTGGGTGACCCAGAGAGGGTTGAGTTAGGAGAAAGAAAAAGGATTAGTACTAGTAGAGTGAGGAAGATTATTTTCTCTCTTCCTTCTGCTTTTATAGTCTTTGTGTTGGGTGTGGTTTTGGCCTTTGTGAGAAGGCCTAAGGTGGTGCATGAAATAAAATTTGGACCCTCTTCTATAGAGGTAGTGAAAATGTCTAGTCATGCATGGAAGGAAGGTTTTATCAAAGGTACTATTCCTCAACTACCATTGTCTGTTTTGAACTCTGTGATAGCTGTTTGTAAGCTGTCATCAGATCTGTTTCCTGCTAAGGATTTTTCAGTTACTTCACTTTCAGTAACTGTGGGGTTGATGAACCTTGTGGGTGGGTGGTTTGGGGTTATGCCATGTTGCCATGGGGCTGGTGGATTAGCAGGACAGTACAAATTTGGGGGAAGGAGTGGAGGGTGTGTGGCACTTCTTGGTGCAGCAAAATTGGTGTTGGGGTTTGTGTTAGGAAGTTCTTTAGCTCATATTTTTAATCAGTTTCCCGTGGGAATCTTAGGTGTGCTGCTTTTGTTTGCTGGGATAGAACTTGCCATGGCTTGTAGGGACATGAATACCAAAGAGGATTCCTTTGTGATGCTTATTTGTACTGCAGTTTCCCTTGTGGGTTCAAGTGCTGCTCTTGGCTTTTTGTTTGGAATGATTATTTTTGTGCTTCTTAAGCTAAGGAATTGGACAAACATTAAGCCACTTTCTACAATTTGGAAGCTTCAAAGCCCCGAACAACCTTGAAGAAAAAAGGAGAATATGTACACGATGCTATTGCTTATCTAGTGTTTTCTGGCTTAAATAGTAGTAGTCAGTAACTCAGTATGCATATGTATGACTTATAAGAATGGTGTCACAAGTTTCTCTATCTGTTTTTTTCTTTTTTTGGGTCAATTTCTTTGTGGTATTTGATACTGAATATTGAACCTTTAATGGGGCTTCTAGGACTTCTGTGCTGTATTTGTAAGGTGTGTTGAACATAATTAATTGGCTTGTGTTCCCTGTGCCTGCGTACATGGCTACTTGGTAACGTTTACGTAGTGTCACTATCAATAAAAATATAAAAGAAGTTGCTTTGACTGGTCTTTTTTTAACCTTGACAAATTTCATTTCCTTTTTATCTTTGTGTAACTTCAAATTTATGTTTAGAATAATATAAATCGTAAAAAATTATGGGTCTCATATAACTGTGCAACAGAAATTTTTAAAAACTTTTTTATTCAAAATCTTAGACACCAAATACAATTTTAAGACGAATAGCGGTTCGTAGTCACAACTTTAAACAAGTAGAATTTATGTATGTAATTTCATTTTATTTTTTTAACCTAAGTCATGGTTTACCACCCTGATCATAATATATAAAATTAAAAAAAGAGGAACTGGTCTAAGTCATGGGTCGTGGCCAAGGCTTTAAGTGTATAATAAAAAAAGTAATTTCAAGAACAAGACGGTTGAAAGAGGTTACGTGGATATATCTCCAGATTATTTATATAAAAAAAAAAAAGTACTTGAATAATGTGTGAGATTACGCACGAATTAAAATAATTCTACAAATCCAATGGTGTAACTCAGTTATCAATATAGGCTAAGTAGAGTGGGGAAAAACCTGTTATGGATTATTAATTATTAATTATATTATTTGATATTTGTTTTCATCTTGTTATTGTTATAATTGGTTATTTGTTGTTTCTTTTTAGGTGGTAATTTGAATTAGTCCAGAAAGTAGAGTGTGGGATAGTTATAGCGTTATAGGTGGTTTACCTTGATCCTTAATGGAAGATAGTTATAGTCTTATAGGATCATGGTATCTTATGGTTATATATGTGTGTAATAATTTTATCTATTTAAACTTTCAATTGTGATGAATAAAAGATAGATTAAAAAATTTATCTCAAAAAACACTTGTGCAAGAGGTTGGGTTTTTTTAATAAAACCGTAATTCTATTTGAGGTCAGACTTCTTCAATAAAATCATTTTTTCATATTTTTTTATTTTGTACGTATCAGAAACTAAGTTCAAGCCCACTAAATACATCTTTGGAGAAGGGTAAAGAGCTTTAAATGTGACTATAAGTCCAAATTCAGGTTTAGTCCTATAACTGACTCAAAAAAGTTAAAGTTTATGAGTCCCAGAAGACCGACTTATTTCAAAGAGATAATTAAGATCAGTATATAAAAAACTCAGTCATAAAATTATGCGTGGAATTCATGATATTTTACAAAAATTTATTTTAAACAAAAATCTGCTGTGATGTTGTGGATGACATCTATAACATTTCGCAATTTACATTAGTTTATTAAAAAAACTACATTATACGAATTAAAAAACCGCTTTGGCTCTGTTAAGAGTATCAGAGTAATATAATATAAACTATTATGCATTTTCACTTAATATTTTAAGTTTTTGAATTAAATTGATTTTTTTACATAATATTAGAGTATAATCATGGATTCGCTCATTATTGTCTTTTAATTTTTACTGAAATTAAGTCAGCATACAATAAAATTCAAAAAAATGAATCCATGCAATACTTAAATTTTAAGTACAAAAATCTCTTATATAAGAGAATATATTAAAAAAATATAATATAAAATTATTGATGAATCTTCGCTAAATATTTTATTTTTTCGAGTTCAATTGATTATTTATATGTTATATTGACTTAGTTGTGTGACTTGTGTCGATGTTCATGATGTGTGGGTAGATTATTGCTTTTATGACAGCAAATAAAGAACAACAAAAAGAATGCCTTTCCATTTTAAGCAATTTAATGAGATCAGCTTGTCGAATAAAATATAAAGATTTGATGGTTGAATGATTATGGTTTTGACAAGGCCTAGCCCGCAACTTGGCTACAGTAATTTTTGTTCAAATAAGGGAGAAAATTGGATATAGGTGCATCTATATTAATAGAGGAAAAAATTGGAATTTAAAAGAATTATACAAAAAATTATGAATTAAATAAAATAAAAATTCCTTTTTAATAAAAAAAGGAGAGCACTGAAGAAATTTCCAAGTAAGGAGAACATGTACGGAATATTATTCGTTTTAATTGCTTATCTACTCTTTGAGCGGAGTTAGTGCGCACCCGGACCAAAAAATGTTGGGTGAGACTGAGGGGAGAGAAAGAGAAGAAAAATTGAGGAGAGAGAAGAGAAAAAAAAATTAATTCAAGTGTCAAATTTTAAATGGAAGGACTATGGTTGTCCTGGACAACAATAAAAAATTCTCTACTCTTTTCTGATTTAGTAACTTAGCACATACAAATATGACCTATAAGAATGATATCGTAAGAAAGTTGTGTGGTTATTTTTTGTCAATTTCATATTCTTTTGGTATTAGATCCTGAATGAGCTTTTATGAGGGTTGTAACTTCTAAGACTTTTGTGCCGTATTTGTTAAGTTTGAAGACTATAGTTTAGTATGAACTTCAGTTGTTGCTGGCTTTTGTTCTATGTACCTGCGTAACGTGTACGTAGTGCTTACTATCAATTTAAGAAATTGCTTCGGTTACATAAACATTTCCTAAAATGTTTGGATGTATTAACTTAGGGAAATATAACTTAATTGCGTCTTTGTTCAGTTATGTGAATGATTGATGTATTTAGATAAATTACTCCTTAAATGGTAGCAAACAATTTCAAGAAAAAGAAAATATACCTTTCCTTTCCGAGTTAATGAGATCAGCCATTCGAATAAATTTTGAAGATTTGATGCTTGAATGATTATGGTTTGACAAGTCCATAAGTTTTTATTGAAGAAATAATGGGCATGACGTCATTCCAACTTTCGGAATTCCCTAGCAAAAAGAACTTTTACCATTACAAACAGTGTTAATTCCTTTCTCCTTTTCAATTATTTGTTTTATTACTAAATTATAATGTACAGTCAAATATGATTAAAAATAATTTTGATATTATTGGATCAGTGGCCAAGAATAACCCTTTTTGCTTTCACCAAATTATGCCCTCTAGGACGGTGAACTGTTGATGGTGAAGAATAAGAATAAAGATTAAAACATTATCATATGCTTTGACAGATGTGGTCGGAATGAAAGATTAACCACTTAACATGCTCGTTCTCGTTTTAAAAAATTCGGATAATTTGTCTCCCACTCACCTAGATTTCCCTAGAGTTCTATTCATGCTCTTTTTACAAAGATAAAAAAATGAAGAGGATAGAACACAATATATTAAAAGAAGGATACATATATAAAGGTTAGTATTATTTAATATCGGTACAAATTATATTTTTAATTTTGACAGTTGATCTCAGTTATATTTAATGACTCTAAATTTTTAATTATGTGAGTCATTAAATACAAGTAAATCAATACTAAAAAATAAATATTTTATTTTTATTTTTACACCAATATAAAAATAACATATCTCATATATATAACTTATCTCTTGTCACGCGAAGTAAGTTATCTCGATTTTAAAGCAATGTTGTTTTGGATTATATAAATCTTTATCGTGATAATTCTTTTTCACATCATTTTGGAATCATAACTTTTACTCTCTATCGTTAGTTCGTGCCAGATTCATATCTGAGAAAAGTAATATGGGTTTTTTTTTTTTTTTGGAAATATTCCATCGGTTCATCGCTTCGCGATTAGTTCGATTCGGGGCGGGTCCAGTATTAAGACTTTAAATCCCTCCCAAAGGTGGTACTGGGGAGGTTCAAACACATACCCTCACCCTCACCTGCTCAACTCTCATGCGCCAACTGAGCTATCACCATTTGGTAGTATTATGGGTTTTTAATTCAAGAGTATTCCCTCTTTCTTTTACCCAAGAGGCGAGAGGTTGGAAATAGTTAAAATCCTTGGAGCACTTGAAGTATAAAGTGGCGTAACCAAGGCATATTCTCTTCACCATAGCCACCTAAATTATATGAGGGTGCCTTTAGTTTTTAAGACAACACTTCCTTGACTCCACTATACTGTCCTGAAATGTGGATTCCCATGACCCAAGTTGGAGCATGACTCATTTCTCAAATGATCAGGATGGATGGTCATGATTGCATGTAACAGTTTGGTCCTTCGCTTCATAATGTGTTGTTGAGTTTGGTCATGATTGCATATATGTAAATGTCTTTTAACAACAATTAAATGTTAATTGTAAAATTGAAATTAAGAATATAATTTTGTAAAATAATTTTAGAATGTTTTATCTGTATAACGGCATACACAATTCCTTACGACAGAATTATATTCGGAAATCAAATCTGCACTTTTTTTTTGCCATGATTTTAGCAAAGTAGATCAGCTTGTTAACATTTCCTGCTAGTTAGTTCGAAGCAAACAGAACATTTGAATTATATAATTTCTTTTCATGTAAAAAAAAAGTGTTTATATATTCAAAGTTCCAATAAATACAGTTGAATTCCACAGGGACACTGACCAAAATGTCGCTGTTTACCAACTTTTTTACTTAAATGCTACGCGAACAGTGTTATTTTCTAATCTGCCACAGAGGCAAGTTCGCTACCCGTGTAGCGAACTTGGTTTGCTGACGTGTCACATTTCTAATGATTAACAAGTACCAAGTAAAAATAAAAAAATAAAAAAAAGATATGAAGTTCGCTACCCCGTGTAGTGAACTTAGTGTCCACTAAAAACGTGACACGTCAGCAAACCGAGTTCGCTACACCGGGTAGCGAACTTGCCCTCGTGGCAGATTGAGAAATAACATTGTTCGCGTGGCATTTAGGTAAAAAAGTTGATGAACAGTGACATTTTGGTCACTGTTCCAATTCCACACAGGCTTTCATATTATGTGGAAATCAGTTCAATAGCAATCTCGTGATTTTTTCTTATGTGTGAGATTTGTTGTAGACCATACGCGGAGAAAATAATGTGTTTATTTGTATTTCTCGAGAAAAATTTCAATGCACCGAAATATTGAATTTGGTGGCCCTTTCTATTAAAAAAGAAGAAAAAATTAAGACTTAACAAATATATATATATATACACACACACACATGGGGCAGGATCGTCTTACACCGGTGTAAGAATAATAAGTCTTACACCAAATCTTAATCATTGATTTTCTGCATCTAATGGTTAAGATTTATTAGTATTCTTAATTCTCAATAAATCTCAACCGTTAGATGCACGAAAATCAAAAGTTAAGATTTAGTGTAAGATTTATTATTCTTACACTGGTGTAAGTTGATCTTATCCATATATATATATATATATATATATATATATATATATATATATGTAAAAGCATAAGTAAAAAGGAAAAAAAAATCACTTTTTAGTAGAAGGAAACACCAAGTTCGGTGGTCTCGATACATTGAAGTTTTTCTCCTATGGAATGACAGTGGTTTTAACGTTTGCCCGAACTTTAACCCAATCCCAACTTAACATAAAAAATAGTAATCAAGAGTCAACTAAGCTATTACAATAGAACGATTACAAAAATATTATTTGATTCTTCATTCCTTGAAAATATTGCATTATATCTTCATCATCAATCTTATCAAATATATCACGTTCAACATAAGTTAGCATGCATGCGTTAAACTAATCATCATTTATCCAATTGTTCAACTTATCCTTAACAAAAGTCAACTCTTACATCAGCAATAAAATTACCGAGACTTGAAGAAAGAAAAGGAATATCTGCAAGATCATTAAACTCCAAAGGATAAAATCAAGCAAACTCAATCAAATTTTCTCTGTTAAAAGTAGCAAATGAATCACGAGGATCAAGACAACTCAAACACTTAGGCAACTTGATATTGACATTATCAAATTGATCGCCTAACTCTTGAACCTGAGTATCTATCACTCTATTAAATAACTTCACCTTAAAGTAGTGCAAGAATGTGAATGATTCCAATCTCCGTCTTGATCTCCATTTAGGACAATAAACATCCTCCATATTTGGAATGTCTATCATATTTATTGGCCAAAATGTTCATTTCTTAAAGCAATTCATCAAAACCATTATCTCTTACCTTTTGTAAACAAGACTTCACTACCTTCACTAAATCAATTGCACTTAAAAGGTTTTGATCTTTTCTTTATAATGCTTGTGACAATCCATAAGAAATCCCTAAGATAAGTTGCATAAGATGCAACAAGAATGCAAACTCAAAATCCTCTATGGCATACAAAATGCAACCTGCATTAGTTCTTGCAGCATCATTCTTAGGCTCGTCTTCAATAATTTTCATCAAGGAAATTATTGGAAAAAATTGTAAAGAACCATCTCAACCCAAAAGCTTAAGTTGTTAAGTGAAGGCCCATCAATTGTTTCTATACTTCTCTAACATGCCCCCTCACATGAGAGCATATTCAGCATGAAGGGTGGATAATGCACAGGCACACATACTTATGCTAAGAAATTTCACAATAAAAAGTAGGGGACGGTGAGGATCAAACCAGTGACACCGAGGCTCTGATACCATGTAAAAAACCAATTCAACTAAAAAGTTTAAACTATTATGTGAGGTTACATTAATGATTTTATATATCTCTAACAAACATAATGAGATAACACTTGTAACTATACAAAAATGGTAACCCCAATGACTGTCTCCAGGTTGCTTTAAGATTGTCTCTTGATTTAGACCTTTTTCAGTTGGTATTTCACCACGAGAAATTTTCCACAATTGAAACATTTTGTCTCTGAGGTTGATAGGATTCTTGGACAATTGGAACTGAAATACTATTTGAAACTTGTTCACTTTGAGATTCGGGTTCTGTATTTGTGGATTTTAGATGTTTGAAATAAGATTGTATTCCTGACAAATCATAATGCATACTTGATATCAAGCTACTAGCGTCCACCTCTGTAGTTTGCCACCAATCATCCAATCCTTCTGAGTTCTGAGAAGAGGAAGAAGAGGTTCGAAAGCCCTAATTTTATAAATTAAAACTAAATAAAGAAAAAAAATTAGGAGAGATGGAGAGAGAGAGAGAAATCTCACCTTCGAATTGAAGGGACGACCGAGGGAGAAGGCGATGGGAGAGTCAGAGAAAAAGGGGAAGAGCTTCGCCAATCGATGATGTGAGGAGAAGGAAGAGCTTCGTTGGGCGGTCGAAGTTGAGAGCTTCGGAGGCTAGGGTTATCAGAGAGGAGAGATCAAAGGAGGCAAGGATTTTTTTCAAAGAGGACAGATGAGGATGGGAGAAGAGAGCATGTTCATGTAAAAGGGTGGGGTTCGAGTGTAAATGTAAATAATTATTTTTTCATCCACCGAAAAAAAAAAGTTTTTGTCTGCACTTGTGGTCATTTGCGCAACAATAGGTCTGCCACTGCCCCGGAGTATATAGTTATAATCAATGTTATAAAAATCGAATCGACCCGACCGGGTTGACTGGGAAACTAGTGAACTGATCATGTAACTGGTCCAGTTTTTATATTGGACCAGCCATGTTATAGACTCGATGCGATCCGGCCGATTTTTGTAAAAACTAGTAACCCGGTCGGTTCAACGGTGACCCGACCCGGTTTATAAAAAAAAAAAAAAAACTGGTTTGTTCTCATCAATTGATGCCTTTCTTTTTTCACTCACACACAAATGGTTTTTTTTTGTTGAAATATTTAAGTGATCTGTAGCTTATTAACTTACATAGATTATGTACTTACAACACTAATATTATCTTGTTTATGCAATATGCAGGAAATTTTAATTTAATTTATAGTTAGAGATGTCGTCCGCTAAACCTGAAACATCAGTAACACAAGTATTATATGTTTGATTGATCTTTTGTTGGACAATGATACGTAATTTATTATTTTTTATATTAAAACATTTGAAATCTGTATCATTTTTTACCGGTATTAAGTATATTTATAGTTTTTTTAATATAAATTATAGATTTACATATACTTACCGGGTCATGCGGTTGAACAAGTGACCTATTACCTCGATCGGGTTAATAACGGGCCGAGTTTAATAACATTGGTTATAATATGAAAGTTTTTTTTTTCTCTCTCCATGTCAGCAGACAAGTGTCTAAAAAATTTATGAAGAGAAAAAAAATAATTTTAATAATATATTTTCCATAATATATAGTTATAAGAGGGTGAAAGAAAATAAGCTTATAACGATAAATAGTTTTCCCTTAAACCGAATGATAATTTTGTATAGTTTACTATTTAATGACACATTATTGAAAATTTTAAAATACCCGTAGATAGAAGAATAATATAACTTCTATTGTAAAAATGTTGTGTAATGAAATTGAAATAACGAAGGGATAAAGTGATTTGTGCTAATTTAATAAATAAGAAATATGTCTCTTATGGTGCTGGGATAAATTTATTTTATATACACACAAAAAGTGACTGAAATTCTTTTTTTTTTCTCTTCTCTTTAATAAATCTCACTTACTTTCTTGTTTATTGGATAAAACAAAATTATCTATCTGACATGAAAAATATATTTTCCTTAATAAATATAAAATTTTATTTCAATCCAAAATTTAAACTATTACGAGAAAATCAAAATAATAATTTTACATTTCTTTAATAATAAATAACAAATTTAAAAAATTTGTTCTACCTTTTGATATTTTTTCTAACATTTACACTATTTTAACAATTAAACAAATTATAATTTTTTAATATTGTATTGTCCATTTTTAACAAATTAAACGGATAATAATTTTTTAAATATATACCTTCCACATCCCAACAAGGTAAATTTGTTCAAAGATCCCCTAAGTGGTCACTCAGCCGCGAATCGTGCGTAAATCTGACACAAAAAGGACTGTAAATCCATTCAAGGTGGTGTTGTATTATTTGGCCGATTTCTATTTTCATATTTAACATTTGAAACTGAGGTTAAGGGGGCAAGAAGGAAGAAGGGCAAAAAAAAAAGAAGGGGGGGGGGGGGGGGGGGGGGGGGGGGGGACTGTACAAATATAGGAAGCCAAAATTCCATAGACCCATACCACGCAGATCAGTGCAACAGTAACGCTGAACTAAGCAGATCTCAAGCTGGAAAGGGTGCTGGTGAACAGTGCAAAAGAGTTGCACTTTGAAGCTGATAAATCTCCTCTCCGTCTCACTGATTTCAGCTCTCATGACTTTTTAATATCTGGATGATAATGACAGAAGACCACAGCCCTTGACAAAGTCAAAACAGAAGCCATGTCCAGCAAAATCACTGCTGAGCCTACTTGCGTGCCGCTAAGCAGCTCGTTACAAACTGAAAGGATCCATTAAGCTATCACAGGGTCAAATATTCATGTCTTACCTACCCATCACCATTTGAATCCTCAGAAGCTTTCATTGCTTCAGCATTCATGAGGGCAACGACAGCCTTGTGAATTGCTAGATCTGCTCTATAAAGCAATCTCTGAGCCCTCTCTCTCTTTAATTTGGCTATGTTAAGTGCATGCTGGGCAGCACCAGAGGCATCACGCAATCTAAACTCATCAAGGTCAGAACCATCCAATTGTTCAATCCCATGTCTCGGAGGGCCATCCAACAGGTACTGCCTGTGACCTGCCAAGTCATAATAGCCCATATTCCACCTACTAACCCCATTTCTCTTCCCTGACCCTGAAACTCTCGGACTATAGGAAGTCATCCGTACATCATTTTGAAACATATATGAGCCAAATTTACTTGACTTGCTTCGGTGATATTTGGGGATATGATTTCTATCATACCCGTCGTTGCTCACAGAATAATATCCCATCCTGCCAGGATCCCGTGGTGAGAATACCCTCGGTGATGTCTGAGGCAATGAGGAATCATCCACAGAATCATAATTATGTCCTGGGTATGCAAACTTCTCATCACCAAATGCCAAACCATTCAGTCTTCTTCCTGAGTTCACAACAATCTGCTGTAAGGAAAAGTTACATAATTTGACATTCAACATGTAATAAATCAACTATTAAACCATATACTCACCAAAAGGGTGGAAAACATCATGTTCGTATAGAATACCATTTGTATGCCCTGAGACTGAAATTTTCTTTTGTGATCGATGTTTTGATCCCTTGTTCAGTACTTCCAAACCCCTAGGTTTCAAACAGAAAGCAAACATGGGCGGCTTCTCCAAAGTTGCAACCTTTTGCAGGCACCCATTAGAAACGGGAATGTTATTCTTGGTCATGGCTACTTCCCACTCTCTCACTTCTTGCTGATATCTTTCCCATAGAGGTGGCTGAACAGAGCATAAAAATATAGAGGTAAAATTTCAATCAATTAATAACCAATCCTAAATATCATGCGCCTAAAAGAAAACAGACAATCTTGGGAAGAAACAGAAGGTAAATCACACAACGTCACCACACTTTGAGCCAATGAATTGCAAAATCACACCCACAATTGTTCTATTCAAACAGGATCTCTAAACAAATTGACAATATTACTAATTGGAACCATAAAATCTAGTAATAGTACTAAATTGGAAATGCTTTGCCAGAATAAAAAACAGAGCTACTTTCATGAATTGAATACATCTCAATCAGTAAGCAGAAATGTAGACGAGGCATGCATGGTTTTCACCTAAGTCATCCAAAACATAAAAACCAATCACATCCATCATCTTTAGTAGACCAAGAAATAACAGGCACGACTTTCTAATTACTCAAACACTTGGCATTATATTTGTCAGGGCTCCAAAGCTTGCTGATTGTTAGGTGTAACAAGTAAATCTCAATCCACTGCCACAATATTAACCTCTCTTCCCTCTCCCTGCTTTAACCCCCTTCCCAATTATCTGTAGAAAGCTACTCTTATCATTTTATATGAAGTCATTAGCCAGAACCAAGAGTCATATTCCTAAACTTGAATGACAATATCATCATGAATAAGATGAGTAATTTAGACAGTACCTGAAAATGGCGTATTAAAGACATTCTCTCCTTCTGCCTTTTCTGCTGCCAATGTTGATAAATGATATTGGCTACACTGAAGGGCACAACATCAACCATGAGTTCCTCTATCTCAGTAGGTGTAAACTGATCACACTGCTGGGCATATGCAGCCTTCTCAAACAAGTCCATTGCCTTCTCAAACATCTCATCCGAGATCCCATCCAAGCCAATGCTGTCTTTTTCAGAATTTTGAATAGTCATAATCCACTGCTCATCCTCACTATCCATGTCATACAGGACATGCAATGGATTCAGAGCCATCTCTACATCTGTTTCAACTTGTCGGAAATATTTAGAGCTCCGAACAAAAGTAACTTCAGATTCATTCTCATCATTTTCTTCTATCAAGACAACACCAGGTATAGGTATATTTTTAACTGAAGCGGCACGGATGTTCTGGTTGTAGCATTCCTCATGCATCTCCTTGAAAAGAGCCCACTGGCTCCTATCAGGAAACTCTAAGATCCAATCCTTCCCTCCTTTCCACATCATAGCATGTGTGTAACGATTTGTTGATCCGGTCTGCAGAAACTGATGTGCTTTGTATGAATACCTTGTAATTCCAGCAAGTTTTACAGAAAGTTTCCACTCATTATGGTCAAACAGCTCTAGTACAACTTGTGCACCAGATTCTCTCCACCCTTTATCACCAAGGGTAATCAACACGTTTGCATCACAAGATAAGGACTCCAAATTCTTTTGAGGACCCCTAGCAACATCCAATGACTTCTTCTCGTTAGCCTTTCTAATTCGCTTGTGAGGCAACCCTCTATGATAATGGCTTCTATGCCTTGAATTAAAATCATACCCGGCTAAAGGAACTGAATAAGATACTTGTGTTCGTGGCTTCTTAGGTCCATTGCTAAAACCATTGTGAAGAGAATCAGCCTTCACATCAGACCACCCATGCGACTGGAATCCTAATGATGAAGAACTAATTCGGTTCCGATGCCAAGAACTTCTGGGAGCTGTTGGATTGGGGCTTGGAATGACACCTCCATTTATATTCCAAGAAAAATCAGAAGAGCGTTGAGTATCATCCAAATCGCCATCAACAGGTTTCTCAAACTGATCAACTGAAGGAATTTGGATGCTGAGATCACACAGAAAAGAATGGGAACCATCATCAGCTTTAACCTTATTGGTCAAAGAACTTGGAGGCAAAGAGCATAGGTCAGAATGATGATATTGCCACTCTGGTAACTGAACAGTACCAAGCCTATCAGGAACATGAGAAGCAGAACTTCCATCAGCACTACGATCAATATTCTGGTAATTTTGAGAGAGAATTCGACCACTGCAATTAGACGGACCAATTAACGGATCTGACTCGGCACAAGTCAATCCATCACACACAGCATCCTTTGGAAAAGTGATTATATCTTTCTTCATATTAATTTCTGCAATCCTGTTAGAGCAATCATCAATGCTATAGCAATCATCGGTCATCAGACCAGAGTCTTCCTGATCATCTACTAGCGCATGATCACAAAAGCTTATATGAGCTACTGACTTTTCCATCAGCAACTTAAGATGCAAACTGAGAAAAAATGTAGGTGCAGCAGCAAAAGAAAGTGAAAATGGAGGAATCTTCCTCTTGACAGCATCAGAAGACTGATGAGTATCAACCTGAGTGAACTCTCTGGAAACACCCATAATATTAATCCCTGGCTTAGTCCTCTTCCACATGACCTGTTCAAGCAAAGTCAGACAATTAGACAGGATAAATCACCTTGCAGTGACTGGAAGCTTTGACAGGATTCAATATTTAAATATAGCAATTGGATTCTTGAAATAAGGAAAAGGATATGGAATTACCAATGAGGAAACGTAAAAAAAAAGGGAGAAAGTACCTTGACTGAGGGCTTGCCACTGATGGAAGTAATAGGACACTCACTTGATCCATTTTGAAGTGCCTGGACGTTCTCATATGTGCATTCAGAGAGACAGAGCTGCTTACTGAGTAGACAATGTCTCTTAAGCTTCGAATCTAAGTACATCCACTTTGAATTCTTCACTCTGGAGAAGTTGTAAAATGCAAACACAAGAGGCTTCTTGATGACATGAACGCTTGCAAACCTAAATCTGATAGATGTAACTGGCAACTGCAAGTCAATATACTTCCCTTGGTCAGCAGGTTGATGAAATACCCTAAGGACCCAAAATAAAAAGGCTGCAGCCATCTTCAAGCAGCCTTCAAATAATAGGAACCTCAGCCCAACCACATTATCAACAAAAAGCATCTCCAAATGAACTCTTGGCCACATAGTCATAACTGTACCATACTGAAGTAGCAGAATAGCATTGAGCAACCACAAATTCTCTGATCTAAATGAGTCATTCAGCACCAAATGTATTGGATAGTTTAAGTCAAATTTGAATGCTGCTGACCCAATGTCCAAGAAAAATGTAGATACTCCTGCATTGTATGTGAAGCGCAATGGCCCTTCAGTCTCAACACTTCTATTATTTGGTTCTTTCACTTGCATAACCCCACCAACCACAGGAACAGAGGAAATGGAACACAATGCACTTATGTTAACATGTTTATCTTCAGAGATATGAAGAGATAATGGAGTCGGCCTGCGAAACCGCTTTCTAAAATAGACAATAGGCTGTTTATCATCTTTATGGGAATTGATGCTTTGCAATGAGGACCTCTTCCCAAAATTATCACCTAATATATCTTGTGATACAGAATCCCTGGACAAATTACTTTTACCATCCTTCAGGGAACTCTCAGCTAGGTATCCCTGTTCTTTTACAGGTTCATCATATAACAATGATGAAAATGATGAGGCTGTACTCGGAAGTGTATCAGAAGTTTTATGTTTCTTAATGCCATGAGAAGCAGAGGATTTAAACCGATGTGAAGAATGAGCCAACCAAGAGATTATAGGCTGTGTGTCCATAAAGCTTTCACCACAGCTATCATCCTCTGTAATCACATCTGTTTTTTGCCTTTCTTTTCTGGACATGCTCCCTTTATGCCGATCAGAACTTCTACTTTTCCTTACTGCTCTTTTCACCCCTCCTTTTCTGGGAACTTCACTAGGAAGCAACAGCAGTTTGAACCTCTCAGTTTGGAGATCAATCCATTCTTCTTCTCGATCGTCATATTTGATATGGTGAAGCTTTGTTTCTTTGTTATAGCCATCGACAAGACCACGATACCAACTTTGGTCCAAAGGCCAAAAGACCTTAATTCTCTGATTCAGTACCTGATGTTCATCCATATCACCTAACAATATTTCATAAAAATGGCGCCTCTTCCTGGAATTACCCTTTTCTTTGAATTGTTTCCTAGGCCTCAAGGCTCTACCAGCAGTATCGACCGATGCCGATCCTGAACCCAACCGAGACTTTGACCCATGACTAACAATATTTCGACTAGAAGAAAGCAAAAAGGACAAACCATTTGATGATGGAAGTGTAGAAGGCTTGCTACTGGAACAAAACCCAGTACAGTTCGGATCAAACCGTGAAGACAGCATCCTTGCTGCATTCTCCTCAAGATTCTCCTCATCATCTTCCTGCAAATAATCAGATACTTTACTATCATCAATTAGAGGACCATCCTCCTTAGCAACTCTAATTCTATCCGGAGCCAATGCCTTTTGCTTCCTATCCTTCCTCCGTGACTTCTTTAAAGTGGAAACACCATTATTTACAACAGAATGAGAGGAGCGCTCCTCATTACCCTTGAAATGCTGAAATGAATTTGAATCACTACTCCTACTTTCCTTAAATTCATTAAAATTTGTCTTCTGCTTAATCTTTGAAGACTCGATCTCCCTGTCCAAATCGCCATAAATTAACTTAGGCATCTGATCACCATGGCCACTTTTACAACTAGGCTGCCCGGCCAAATTTGGTGCTTGACCAACTTCAAATTTCTTCCGACCCACAAAATCCCTCTTTCGCTTTGGAATATGAACAACATCATCATCAAGACTTAGTGAAACTCTATTAGGCCCACTACTGCTACTCAGTCTCTGCCTCGCCTCCACCTTCCGTTCACACAATTCCTGCCCACCAGGATCAGGCCCTTTATGATATTCTTCATCAACAATTTTCTTGGTGCCACCATCACCATTCTCCAAGTTACTTAGAGACACTTCCTTTCTGGTCTTTTTTTTCTTGTTCCTCTTCTCATCACCATCCGTTGGACCACTAACTTTCCTCTTTAAGTTCTTCTTTGGAGTCTCTAGCGTCACTTTTGATTTATATAAACTCTTCAGATCCAAAGATCTCGATTTTTTGGGAATTGCAGTGCCATAGGAGTTCTCTTCTCTATCTTCCATGAACAATCCGCGGCACAGAATGAAATTCTCCAATGTTCACATTCCATCATACATACCTGTGCGCCTTTTTCAGATCTGTAACACCAACCAGATGAAAAATCACAAAAAATTCCTCGACCAACCCAAAAACTAAGATCACACCCATTTTCCCCATGCATTGGGCTAATCGCATTAAACAACACCGAACATATCAATCACAAAATCATAACAAATTCGGAAACATACCTCAACCGAGACAGCACGAAATAAACGATTCCTCGCCCAAATCACGACGATCACGACCACGAATCATGGATTAGGGTTTGAATATCACCTCTGCGATTTGAAACCCTAATCGAATACTCAATTTAGAAATTTAATTCACCGATAATTTAGATTTTTTGTTTTTTCAAAAACCGCGAGAGACGCACGAGAGCTAGGGTTTCTTTTAGTTTGCCGAGTAAGGGGTTTTAGATGAAAATACCAAAAAAATTGAACGAATCGAAATGGAAAATAGCTCCAAAACACGAAGATTCATTTGATTCGACACGTGGGCTTGTACAGTCCGTTAGATTGGAAACTTATGTGCGGGTTATGATCTCCTGCGTCTTCGTCTACAATAAGCAAGCCCTTATAATATTTTGGGAACACGTGATGGATATACAAACGGCTAGGATTGAACGTTTTCACGAGACGAGCATGAAGATTCCGTAAATTGTTCCAGCGGTTCACGAGGCTTGGGCGATAAGATTTATTCGCGCTATGACACTATGCTTAATGCTTAATGCTTAATGCTTAATGCTTATTGAAGAGAAAATAGAAGGTGAAATTAATTTCCATTTTGTGGTTTGGTAGTTAGCCCTCAATTTAAATGAAACATCGGAAATGCCATCGAGTTTTTTGAGTTCTCAGGTCAGGCGCCATCGAAGATCAGCGTTGGATGCTTAAAACAAAAATAAAGGGGTGTTTTGGTATGTAAGAAAAAAAATTTGTCGAGGAGAGTGGGGCAAGGAAAATAATTTAGTCATATACTCATATTTGATAGGAGTAAAGTAAAAAGTTGGGCGGCAAAATTTTTTTGACGGGAAATATTTTTTGCACGTGGTATCATTACGAAACATTGTCATCTAGGGTCGTTTGGTACACGAATTTTTTTCGGATTCTCAGGAAACTAAATTTTTTAAATTTTAAATTTTCAGATATTATTGTAAACTAAATGTAAAAATTATATTTTTAAAAATCGAGATTTTCAGACAAATAAAAATTTCTCCTGTACCAAACACCCCCTATAAAGTAAATCTTTTTTTATCTTACCTGACAATAAATTTTAGTCTATCAAACATTTTTTTTTATCTTAATCAGCAATAACTTTTTCCCACCATATTCCTGGCAAATTTTTTTTCTTGATAAATAAAATATATCCTCTACCAAAGTCACTCTAAAATTAAATCTTATAATAACTCATAAAACTAGTTGTACAGAGGTGTAAATGGGTCAATGGATCTATTAAGAAAAAAAAAATCAATCCATCCAACCGAACTCGATGCTTCTTCTTATTATTATTTTTTTCCTTTTTATCTATTTTTTTATATTTTTCTTTAAATCTTTAAAATTTCTTTTTAATAAAGAAAAATACCAAGTTCAATGATTCCGATATATTGAAGTTTTTCTCATCTATTAAGAGCTTACAGTTTAGGCAAGTTAGGTCAGACTTAATACATTTGATAAAATAGAACATACATAGGCTTTAAAAATAATATTGTTCAAAAAATAATACGAGTCATTTTTTACAAAGCTTGACTTACAAGGTTATGGAATAATGTATATCATATTATTTTATTTTAATTAAACTAAAATAATTATTTATATAATTTTAATTAATAACAAATTATTTTATAATTTTTATAATTATTAAAGACTTGATAGACTTAAACAAACTAATAAATTTATGCTAGACCTTTAAATTTTTAAATGTAAGTCAGATCAAGTCTATAACATAACTTATAATAGGTTAATAGGTCAGATAAAGTTTAATATTTTGGATAAGACGAACCTATTTAGATGAAGTATAGCTCAATTCAGGAATTTTTTAATATGGTTCATGACCACTATAGTCTTTTTACTAAAAAATTAACACTTGAACTCTTATTTTTCTCTCTCCTCCCTCATCAATCTTTTCTCTCTTTCTCTCACTTTAGTACTATCAAAAAAAAAAATTGCTACGGGAGCACACAAACTTCGCTCCCAATTCACCCCATGTTTGCCCCTACATGCATGGCTCCTCGGGTCCACTTTGTTATAGGTTTGGTTGAAGTTGAGTATTCTAAATTTCATTCTAGATAGTGAATTATTAGTTTAAAATTTTCTTACGAATTCTTAAAGAAAAAATGGGTATCATTTTAAATAATAAAAGTTATGTTATTTCATAGACATAATGAGATAAAATTCACACATTTATTTAGTTTTTTATTTATTTTAGTGAGACTCATACATCTTTATATTTACAAAATGAGACAACTTGTATCATTTAAAATCACATAAAGTTCAAACTAGTTTTACATTTCAAGGCATGTAACGGCTCACCCTGGTCAACTCTGTTCAAATTTTCATTTTCAGGTCAATTAATATTTTTAAAGTTTGAACCATAAATTAAAAGGTGAGAACACTAAGTCATGATTTAATTAGATAGTTAATTAAATTATTTTTAACCATGATTAAAATAAATAATATAATAAAAAGGATCAGATAAAAAATATGACTGTTTGATGTTTTAACTGATTAAAGTCACTAATTTAATTAATGTTTAAAAATATATCGGTCAACTTGTTTTATATTGACATAAGTTATGATGCTAGGATTAAATAAAAGATAATATAATATACAACAAATAATTCTGAGATTGAAATTGAACAAAATAACTTATTCGATTAAAATATTCAAAACTGATTTCGGATACGTCCTTTGCTGTGTTCTATATATGAGATTTAACTTTAATACATTGTCAGTATATAAAAATGATACTTATCCATAATGTGTAAAAATAAAAAAAATAAAAAAAATACTTATATCCAGTATGTGTTATCACGCTATTTAATACATTTGATTATTTTTACCAAAAAAAAAAAAAAACATTTGATTATGTTATCGATTACAGTATTATAAGATTCAGTTATTATGCAATGACTTTTTATGACTATTTTTTTTGGTAATGCACTTTTTATGACTATTTAAAGGATTCATTAATTGTATTAATTTTATTTTTCTGTCGAACAGGACCACATCGTATCATCTAACTACAACAATAGAAACATATCTTATTAATCAATAACGATAAATAATTTAAATCTTATATGTTAAATTCACTAAATAATATGTCGACACATTATGTGTAATTTTTTTATACCAACAATGTATCAAAATCAAATTATATAAATAGGAATAAAAAATTATTTTAGTTCATGTAATCATAAATAACCATATTCCGTTATATTTAGAGGGTCAATTTGAATTGCACTTGTGAATGTCGCAAATATATAAAGCCAGCATTTTATTTTATTTTTGGTAAAAAAAAGCTAGCATTTTATTTATAATTAGTTTTGAAAATGATGTATGTTATTATTCATTTAATAACAAGTGATGTAAATTGCACTAAATGTTAGAGATATTTAGACGTAAGTGGTGAAATTTTATATTAATTAAATATTGACCAAATAAAAACCATATAAGATTCTTGATTGAGATGTGATCACAATTTACTTATCCTGAATTGATGTTTGAACAAAGTATTTCTTGCAAACAGGGGTGTTAACAGGCCGAGCCGAGCCGAGCTTTGATCTTAACCGGTCAAGCCTGTATTTAAACGTGTCCGACTGACCTTAGCATGTTACCTGTTACGAATATATAATATTGGCCTGTGGCCTGATTTATTTACAAAAAAAAAAAAAAGCCTATGTGAAGCCTGTCTTAGCCTGTTAGCATGTTAAAGAATAAAAATAAGAGAGCATAGTTCCACAAAAAATCAATTTCCAGATAGAAACCTTAGCTTCCAATTTGAAGCAATAATTTACAAAGTCTACAATAAATAAAAAAATTAAAGTGAGAGAAGGTAGATAATAGGTTATATTATCTTAGCCCATTATAAAAAAAGTGCCAACAAAAATAAAAATAAAATAAAAATAAATTGACACAAACGAACAGTTGCACATTCAAACGAATGAGTTTTTGTGGGTTTGTTTCTGTGAAGGAGGATGAAAGATAACATAGAACAGCACTAGTAATTTCATAAATATACATAAATTCAATATATATCCAAATATCATAATATAGAATAAAATCATTCAAAAAGTCTGTTAAACCAATAAAATGGGGTGAAATAAATTGATGAGAGAGAGTTATTACAAGTAGTGTAAAAAGTATAAATAAATATTTATATACTAGACTAGCCTGGGAGGCTCTAAGGCCGAGCTTCTAAATTAGAGCCTGAGGCCTTTTTATTAAATGAACTTTTATACAAGTTCAAGCCTGGTTCCAACACGAACTTTTATTAAATGAGCTCAGGTCTTTATGAGCTGAGCCAAAGGTCCCTGGCTCGTTTACCACCCCGACTTGCAAATAATTTTCAGCTGCCCGTACCATTCTAACTTGAAATCATTGTCTGTGTATCGCATTTTTATTTTATTGAATAATTACATTATTTATTTTTTTACTAACAACTTTTGTTCAACATTAATTCACGGTTGCGAAGCTTCTTCACTCTTTTAAATATTCCTCGAGGCTTACTTAACATGAACTGTGTGGGATATACGCTATATTATATTTAAGATTCATTTTTTGTAATGAATAATTATCAACTTGTTTACGATGGCTAAAGTATATACTAACCTCTATAATTTTTTTAGAGAAATAAAAAGCATGATTGTTAGATCTACATCCTTTGATTTTCACATCAGAGGAAAGCCAACAAAATGGTGCAAACATGATCTCTCATGTTGATGCTATCATAGATTAAGCATAATGTGTCTTTGCGGCATTTGCATCATTGTTTCACACTGAGAAACTTTATTTATTTTTTAAAAAAACTATCGATTAAATGAGACCAATTAAATAAATAAATGATGCAATATTTCTAAAAAGTGATGAGGCATATTGTAATGCTAAAGCGGATCCTTAATGACCAAGAGCTTAGGAATTCAAATTCATTACCAACTATATTCTTAGTCTATTTTTATCTTTTTCGTTATTATTTTTAGAGGTAGGTTATATTTACAACTTTTTTTTATAACCTCTTACAACCATATCTTAACACCGTTGATTTTCCTCAATCAACGGTTATGATTTTCGCAAATTAAACTCATTAATTAATTATTAATTCACAATAAATGATAACCGTTAATTGGCGAAAATCAACGGGGTTAAGATATGGTTATAAGAGGTTGAAAAAAAAAGGTTATAAGTATAACTTTCCTCTTATTTTTATAAGAGAAAAATTTAAAAATTCCGCTATAGTTTTCTTATAATCACTTATCTTTTATGGTTATTTTTTATTTTTTATTTTCTTATAGTTTTTTACATTCATTTCACCTTCTAACTCTGTTAAAAATTAAATTAGACGATCCATTTTACTCTTATAAAAAGAATCATTGTAAATATTAGAATTTTGTACCGTAATATTATATTTTTTCATTCCACTGTGATTATTTTCTAAAATTTATATCAAAATATCAAAAAAAAAAATCACCCAGCAATGTTGAGAGAGAAATTACAATAAAAACTACAAGTTAGCAATTAATTTCAATCTTGCAACAAGATAATATTCATAACATTGTTAGCAAGAATGAATGCTTAACTTAGAACAATTATTTTTCTTATTACAAATTTATATATCTTTAGTAAAATTGGCTTGACTTGAGTTTGATGAATGTATTAGTATCTTAAATTTAATAAATAAAATTATAGATTATTTAAGTAATCAATTCATATGAAAATATATTTTTATTAAGGGTTCAGAAATTAAAAAAAAAAAATATAAGCTAGAGATAGGTAATAGAGAAAATAAAAAAAATGTTGAAAAACATATTAATATATTAAAGAGTAGATTGGTCTACTAATATAAGCTATATTTTTATTAAAGTTATGAGCAAATACGCAAATGATAAATGGATTGAGTGTGAATAAAACAAGAAAATCTAAAAAAATTCAAATAAGGAAGAGCTAATTCAGTTTAAATGAAAAAGGTTCAATTTAAGTTAAATTTGACATATTATAATGGAGTTAAAAGTTTGAATATGTAATAAATGTTTGATTATTTGCCTTAGTATTATAATAAAAGTTGGATTAAAAAAAAGAAGCATTACATTATCTTTTTACAGAGATAAAATGAAGGTGGATTGGACGGAAAAAATAATAAAAGATAAAAAAAAAGTAATTATAATAAAAAACTTAGGGAAATATTTTAACTTTTCCCTTTTCATAATTACATTTTAGGCGCTTATAACGTGATCATGATTTCTTTAGCTAACTACGTACCCGACATGGTTATTCAAGTTACTTAAAAGAACCATATGGAATCTCTCGTGTTTTTATAGTGTTGATTCTAACTAAAATTTTTTTTAATCAAAATAATTAACCCAACAAAAACTATTTGTTTGTGCAAGGTTTTTAAAATGACTGTCGGACACATATTTTTTCCAATAATTATTTTAAAAATCTCTTTTAAGAATTTTTTTTATTTATAAATTATTTTAAATATGAAACAATCTAAATTCTAAACACACTACATATAGATACAAAAGAAAATTACTATTTATTTATTTATTATTATACGGTATTAATTATAACTCCAAATAGTAGAAACTAGAAACCCATAAACCTAAAGTAAATATACAGACAATATATTATTTTTTATAACACTTTTTATTATTAAACAAAATCTCATGTTACTTTTGTTGAATTTTTTTTTATACTTATTTTTATTGAATTTAAGTTATTTAACAAAAGTCATGTGAAATTTTATTTAATAATATAAGAATTAAAAAGAATATGTTATACTAATCTTATTATATAGAATCTTAAACTCACCATTAGGAACTTTGCTGACGTGTCGCTCGGTCATTTATTCTCAGCTTTGTGTTCACACTTGAAAGAATTTGATATGTTTTTTCTTTTAGAAATTTTTAAAATTCGAAATTTCAAATTGGTGGATGGGAAGAATAATTCAAAATATATAGTAGAAGACACATGTATTAATGATCCACTACTTTCTGCATGAGTAGGTGGAAAAATATTAATATTTCATTACTTTTTGCATTAGTAGGTAAAAAAATATTCAAATTCAAAATTTAAACTTAAAGGTGAAAAAAGAGTTCATCATAAATATCGCACTACTTTATTATATTTTTTATTTAGTTATTGTTCGTATATTATTGTAAGGGATCCTCACAAGGAAAAGAAATGATATCACTTCATATTCATTGTCATGTCACGTCACATCACATACCAGTAAGGTTAAAACAATAACTAATCTCATATACAATCAGTACTTTTATATCTATGTATAAAATAATATTATCTCAAAAAAATTATATACCTTATAAGAAAAATAAAAACTAAATTAATAAGAGACGTATAATTAAAGAATTGTCTATATATATATATATTAGTTATTAATGTATTTTTTGTGATTTCAATATGTATTTAAGGTAATTGATATAAAATGTTGTATTATTTACTAATTAGTTTAAAATGGTACTCAATCTTATTTAAAATTTGAAAATATTTTTATAAAAAATAAAATAACTAAAAATAAGTAAAAAATGAAAAATTTAAAGAAAATAAATAGAAGTAAATAATTGATAAAAAATAATAAAAATAAAATATATTATTTTAAATGTGAAAATACTTGTGGTAAATAGATATAAATAAAGTATATTCAAATATTATTTCACTTTCAAATATGAGATAAGACTTTATAAGCATTCTAATAAGATAATATTAGTTTTTATTTAAGATAAACTAATTTTTTTAAAAAATTTATAATCAAACCAGAATGCGTTCTCTTCCATATGATTTAAATGTTATTATATACATGTAACATTTTTAAAAAATAACCTGATTGAGTGAGCATGTTACATTTAAAAGCACTTAAAAAAAGCATTTTAACTTATATTTACTACTCTTTTTTTCTTATTATCAAATCTTAACCATTAATTTCTGTTAATATAATTGTTATAATTTATTGAGAATTAATAATTAATTAACAAGCGTGACCTGATAAATTATAATCGTTATATTGAGAAAAATCAACGATTAAGATTTGATAACAAAGGGTAGCAAGAAAAAAAATGTTACAAAATCTATTAGAGTTTGTTTACAGAGCAAATATTTGAAATTTGTTATAAAATTAGGAGAAGAGATGATCGGGTAGAAAATGTTATTCTCATTCAGCTCATACATAAATAGGGATTTCTTTTTACGAAATAGACAAGCTAATTTCTTTTTTTACCATGCATCGCACGAGTCATACACTAATATATATATATATATAGGAAAATAGTGACACGTTCTTTCTTTTAGAGATTAATCAACGACGATCGAAGACAAATTTTTTAATCTTTTTCTTTCGTGCATCGCACGGATAATGCACTAGTAGTCTAATAGTATTCGTGAAACTATAAATTATGTTGTTAAAAGTTAAAAGTTCAATAAGAGGGCTTCCAAGATTGGCTATGGGATTCACCAAACGTCTCAGAAGCTCGCTAAGCTCGCGAAGTGTAAGCAATTCAATTCAATTCTATTCATATAATACGCTATTCATTATGTCGGTGATTGTGTCTTATTAATTCATTTTGTTTTGATTCGCAGTGGCTAAAAGGACTTCGGTTTTTGACGACCCCACCATGAAAATCCAAGAGCTTACGTGTGTTTGTTGGAATAGAAGATTCTATATGTTGTTATGATTTGCTGTGATATGTTGCAACCTGTAGTTTGTTAGGATATGTATAACTGAGTCCTATTGTAATTAGGTGTAGTTACTTATCTTTAGGAAGTTGTTTTACTATTTGGTAACAGACTGTTTGGTAACAGCCTATTCTATTTAAGATACATTGATGTACAGTTTTAAATCAATGGAAATACTATCAATTGATACCATTTATCATGGTATCAGAGCGATCCCTTGTTAAAAAAAAAAACTTCCGCAACGTGTAGACTCTGAAAACAGTGAGCAGGAGATAGCTTTTGTTGAAGATGGCCAATGAAAACAGCAGCAGGTTGAAGCCATCAGACCCTGGATCACCATTCTATATGACTGGATCAGATAGCCCAGGGATTCTTTTAACAACCGTTATGCTGAGAGGAGAAGCCAACTACGAGAATTGGGAAAAGTCTGTTGAACGTCCTCCATGCATTCACTGCGGGAAAACTAATCATGAAGCCTCTCGATGCTGGCAAGCATTTGGCTATCCTGGACGTGGTGGTAGCAGAGGACGAGGACCTGGACGAGGACGTGGACGTTTCGGTGGTGATAGGAGCAGTAACCCACAAGGAGGATTCCATGCAAAGCCATTTGGTGCACACGCAGCTCAAACGGAGGAACCACTAGAGCAAGCAAATGCATTCGCCGTTCTGACACCTGACGTGGTGACACAATTGTTATCATTGGTTGACAACCCGCAACGCTCAAAGGACAAATTAAATCGTAAAGATTCCCATTGTCACTGGCTTATAGATAGTGGTGCATCACGCCACATGACAGGGGTATTGGAATTGCTGGAGAATGTTACAGATGTTGAACCTTTGGCAATCGGTTTACCCAATGGAGCTATTACTTATGTTGTGCAACAAGGATCTGTTTCGTTTACTCCTTCTTTTTCATTATCCAATGTCTTATTTGTGCCAAATTTAAAGTGTAACTTGATATCTGCATCTCAGTTGGTACGACAACATAATGTTGATGTGGTATTCACTAATAATAGTTGTGTTTTGCAGGACCGCAAGCTGAGGACGGAGATTGGATTGGGTGATCACAGGGATGGTGTGTATGTGTTTCGACCAAGCCAAGCAGCAGCTTTAACAGTTCGCTCCAGTGATACGCAAGAACTTTGGCACAAGCGGTTGGGCCATGCATCATCCGAAGCACTTTCTCTGATTCCTTTTTCTAGTAGCATTCGATTTGGCAATGTAAACAATAAGGCATGCGATATTTGTTATCGTGCCAAACAAAATCGATCCTCGTTTCCCATTAGTGATCGAAAGAGTAATAAAATTTTTGATCTTCTTCATTGTGATACATGGGGTCCTTACCGCACTTCCTCTTTCTCTGGTGCTTATTATTTTTTAACGATAGTCGATGACTTCAGTCGTGCTGTTTGGGCTTGTTTGATGGGTGACAAAAGTGAAACTTTTGGTGTGTTACGAAAATTTCTTTTAATGGTGCAAAATCAGTTTAATACAACAGTTAAGAGTATTAGATCAGATAATGGAACTGAATTTACTTCCAACAAGATGATTGAATTATTCACTGCCAATGGTATATTTCATCAGAAATCCTGTGTTCATACGCCGCAACAGAACGGTCGGGTAGAACGGAAGCATAGGCATATTCTAAATGTGTCTCGTGCTCTTTTGTTTCAAGCAAACTTGCCAATCAAATTCTGGGGAGAGAGTGTGATGACAGCAGCTCATATTATTAATAGAACTCCCACAAAGCTTCTCAATGGCAAAACTCCTTATGAGCTTTTGCATGGATCTGTTGCTGATTACAATCACTTAAGGATATTTGGCTGCCTATGTTATGCGGTGACACAACCAAAACCTACAAACAAATTTAGTCCACGGTCTAGGCGGTGTATGTTTGTTGGTTATCCTCATGGGCAGAAAGGTTGGAGAGTGTATGATCTTAATACTAAGGAATTCTTTGTGTCACGAGATGTCAGTTTCCACGAAGATGAGTTTCCTTTTGTTGTTATAAGTGTGCCTACACCTAGCCCATCATTACCTACATTTATACCAATAGATTCTAATGATTCTGCCAATCCAGTATCTCAATCAACTTCAAATGATTGTGAGGCAGAAGTGCAGTTGGAAGATAGGGGGAGTGTCCATCAGTCTGAAAGGGAGCCGAATGAAGATTCTACATCAAATGCTGATCAAGTGCAAAGGAGTGAGGATCCAGCTCCTGCTCTCGTACAAAGGAATGAAGATTCAGCTCACGAACTTGTGCAAAGAAGTGCAGAATCAGCTCAAAACGATTTTCTTCGTCCAGCACGCACACGAAGGCCTCCGTCCTATTTGAGTAACTACAAATGTAATCTGATTGAGGCACATACATACACTCCCAGTCTCACCTCTTCTAGCTCCACCTCAGGTATACGGTATCCAATTGCCAACTATGTGAATACTAACAATTTTTCTTCAAAACATCGAGTTTTTGTTGCTGCTATTGATGCAGGTAGTGAACCTCGGTCATTTAAAGAAGCAATGACCAATGATGTTTGGCGTAAGGCTATGGCTCAGGAGATACATGCACTAGAAGAAAATAATATGTGGACTATCACTGATTTACCTGCAGGCAAACATGCCCTTCCATGTAAATGGGTATATAAAATTAAATATCATTCCAATGGTAGCATCGAGCGCTACAAAGCAAGGTTGGTAATTGCAGGTAATCATCAAGTTCCAGGAGAAGATTTCCATGAAACTTACGCTCCTGTAGCAAAAATGGTGAGTGTTAGAACTCTACTCTCGGTTGCAGCTGCAAAAGGTTGGTACTTGCACCAAATGGATGTTCATAATGCGTTTCTTAATGGAGAACTGGACGAAGAAGTGTATATGCGCATACCGGCAGGCTTTAATCAAGGATAAGGAAGAAAAATGTGTCGTTTGCAAAGGTCGTTATATGGCTTACGACAATCTCCCAGGAATTGGTTTGCAAAGTTGAGTTCCTCACTTATTAAATACGGTTTTGTTCAATCCGAAGCAGATCACACTTTGTTCACTTTGAAGCGTGGTTCTACCTTCTTGACCATACTAGTCTATGTTGATGATTTGGTGTTGGCAGGCAATGATTCCCAAACATGTCAAGAGGTTAAGATTTATCTTAACAAGTGTTTTAAAATTAAAGATTTGGGTCACTTGAAATATTTTTTGGGCATCGAGGTTGCCCGTAGCAATGAGGGTATCTTCTTGTGCCAACGAAAATATGCATTAGATATCCTCAAAGAAACAGGTTTGTTGGATTGTAAACCGGTTCAGTTTCCAATTGAACAGAATCATCGCTTAGCTCTGGCAGATGGACCTGACTATGATGATCCAGGTCGCTATAGAAGAATTGTCGGCAAGCTAGTGTACCTTACGATCACTCGTCCTGATTTGAGTTATGTAGTGCACACTCTTTCACAGTTCATGCAAGCTCCAAAGGAAGCACATTATGAGGCTGCCATTCGGGTACTAAGATACATCAAAATGAATCCTGGCCAAGGTATCCTCCTTTCTTCCAAAAGTGATCTCAAAATTCATGCTTTCTGTGATTCAGATTGGGCCAGCTGCCCTTTAACTCGCCGGTCAGTTTCTGGGTTCTTCATTATGCTTGGAACCTCACCTGTTTCTTGGAAAACAAAGAAGCAACTCACTGTCTCACGCTCCTCAGCAGAGGCTGAGTACCGCTCCATGGCTGCCGCGACAGCAGAATTGATATGGTTGAAGTCTTTTCTTGCTTCACTTGATGTTATCCATGATGATCCTATGAAATTATGTTGTGATAATCAAGCCGCTATACATATCGCGGCAAATCCTGTGTTCCATGAGCGAACTAAACACATTGAAATTGATTGCCATTTTGTCCGGGAAAGGTTGGTTTCTAAGACGATTCGAACTACTTTTGTTCGTTCTCATTTGCAACTCGCAGACATTTTCACCAAAGCACTTGGTCGTGTTCCATTTCTTGCCGTTCTTTCCAAGTTAGGCATTTCATGTCTTCATGCTCCAACTTGAGGGGGAGTGTTGGAATAGAAGATTCTATATGTTGTTATGATTTGCTGTGATATGTTGTAACCTGTAGTTTGTTAGGATATGTATAACTGAGTCCTATTGTAATTAGGTGTAGTTACTTATCTTTAGGAAGTTGTTTTACTATTTGGTAACAGACTGTTTGGTAACAGCCTATTCTATTTAAGATACATTGATGTACAGTTTTAAATCAATGGAAATACTATCAATTGATACCATTTATCAGTGTTATTAAGCAAGATATTACTGCTCTAAACTCTACTGTTGTGGATCTTCAGTTACTTTGCAACTCTACAAATGAGAGTGGGAACGCTTCTACAGACACAACTAGCCATTCAACCACGGATGTGGATGACCTAAAGACCCGATTAATGAACACCACCAAAGAGTTTAAAGATGTTCTCACCATGCGAACCGAGGTATTGTATTGTATTTTATTGGTGTGCTTTGCATATTTTCTGCAGTCATTGCCGACATTGATGTTATACTTCCGTTTTTTTATGAAGAACTTGAAGGTACACGACAATAGAAGACAATTGTTTTCGTCCTCTGCCTCTAAGGAATCTGCAAATCCCTTCGTCCGTCAACATCCTTTGGCAACAAAGTCGGCTGCTGCTACATCTAATGCCCCTGCACCACCCCATGGGCTAGTGGGTCTCCATCTTCATCTCAGTTGTTTCCTAAGTACGTTATTTTTTTTGTTTTTCTTTCTTTCTTTCTTTTTTTGTTAGTTGTAGGCTTGTATTTAAGCATGTGTTTGTTGTTTTCTTGCTAATTTTTCTGTAATGCTGGTAAACTATGGTACAAGGCATGATTTGTGGATCTTTTCCTATTTAATAATGAAATTATGCTCCAATATTTTGAGGTTATTTCAATTTGGGTTGAATTATATACCTTAAACTATGATTTCATACAATTTTATTTTTTCTTGGCTTTAAATCTGTAGGAAGGATGCGGATGGAGAGAGTCAACAGTTGCTGCAACAACAGGTAGTTCCATTGCAAGACAGTTACATGCAAAGCAGAGCTGAGGCTCTTCAGAATGTTGAGTCCACTATTCATATATTAGTTATTAATGTATTTTTTGTAATTTTAATATGTATTTAAGGTAATTGATATAAAATGTTGTAATTATTTACTAATTAGTTTAAAATGGTACTCAATCTTATTTAAAAAATGAAAATATTTTTATAAAAAATCAAATAACTAAAAAATAAGTAAAAAAATGAAAAATTTAAAGAAAATAAATAGAAGTGAATAATTGATAAAAAATAATAAAAATAAAATATATTATTTTAAATGTGAAAATACTTGTGGTAAATGGATATAAATAAAGTATATTCAAATATTATTTCACTTTCAAATATGAGATAAGACTTGATAAGCATTCTAATAAGATAATATTAGTTTTTATTTAAGATAAACGAATTTTTTTAAAAAATTTATAATCAAACCAGAATGCATTCTCTTCCATATGATTTAAATGTTATTATATACACGTAACATTTTAAAAAAAATAACCTGATTTAAATCCAAACTAAAAATTCAATTCTACAAATGAGAGTGAGAACGCTTCTACGGACACAACTAGCCATTCAACCACGGTTGTGGATGACCTAAAGACCCGACCACGAAAGAGTTTAAAGATGTTCTCACCATGCGAACCGAGGTATTGTATTGTATTTTATTGGTGTGCTTTACATATTTTGTGCAGTCATTGCCGACACTGATGTTATACTTCCATTTTTTTATGAAGAACTTGAAAGTACACGACAATAAAAGACAATTGTTTTCGTCCTCTACCTCTAAGGAATCTGCAAATCCCTTGCTCCGTCAACGTCCTTTGGCAACAAAGTCGGCTGCTGCTACTTCTAATGCCCCTGCACCACCCCCGTGGGCTAGTCGGTATCCATCTTCATCTCAGTTGTTTCCTAAGTACGTTATTTTTATTTCTTTCTTTCTTTCTTCTTTTGTTAGTTGTAGGCTTGTATTTAAGCATGTGTTTGTTGTTTTTTTGCTAATTTTTCTGTAATGCTGGTAAACTATGGTACAAGGCATGATTTGTGTATCCTTTCCTATTTAATAATGAAATTATGCTCCAATATTTTAAGGTTATTTCAATTTGGGTTGAATTATACCTCAAACTATGATTTCATACAATTTTATTTTTTCTTGGCCTTTAAATCCGTAGGAAGGATCTGGATGGAGAGAGTCAACCGTTGCTGCAACAACAGCAACAGCAGGTAGTTCCATTGCAAGACAGTTACATGCAAAGCAGAGCTGAGGCTCTTAGGAATGTTGAGTCCACTATTCATGAGCTAAGCAACATCTTTAATCAGCTAGCAACACTTGTTTCCCAACAAGGAGAGATTGCCATCAGGTTTTTATATGTCTCACTTTTGTGCCATATAGATCATCCATATATATGACTCAGCTCAGCAACAATACGAATGGGATGTATGTTACTAATTGACACAAGCTTACTTGATTCATTAGTAATTCTGATGCCAAATGAGCCTATGCCAGTTATATTGACTGTGAGATAAATTAGGGCCTTGACTTTAATAAGCTTGTAGCAAAAAATCACTTTGGTTTTTGGTTGTCTGTGGGAAATGATTTGTTTGTTTACTGTATATTGACTATGATTTAGTGGTGCTTGTGGATGCCATAATGTTTGAATTGCTTGTTTTGCTGCTTAGTAAGCTTAGAGATTGGCTTGCATAAGAACTTAGCTCCTATAAAGGACTGGCCAAACTCTATGAAGTACATTGTATATGGATAAGATTGCTCATATCATATGTTGGAGAAGATTGGGTTTTTTTTCTGTTTGTTGCGACTGTAAGGTTGTGGACGCCATGCTGTTAACTTGCTTTTTTTGCTGTTTACTGAGTGGAGAAATGAATTGCGCAAGAATTTAGCCTCCTCTAAAGTGTACGGTGAACTTAGAGATTAAGGTGTAAGTGGGTAGCCTTTGATGAAAAAATGAATAGTTTGTCATGGTAACCTTATGAACAGTTACTGCAATAGTTTAAAACTACGTGAATGATTGCATACGCATACTTTGATTGCTGATAAGGCGAATTGATTTTTGCTTGAATTTTTTTTCCATATTGGCCAATTGAGACATTGGTGGATTTGATACAGGTCCTTAATTTGCAGGATTGATGAAAACATGGGTGATACATTGGCAAAGGTAGAGGGGGCACAAGGGGCTTTGTTGAAGTATCTGAACAGCATATCTTCTAATAGGTGGCTGATGATCAAGATTTTCTTTGTATTAATATTTTTCCTTATGGTTTTCTTATTTTTTGTGGCTTAGTCATTCGAGTAACAGAGATCGAGGACACAAATGACGGCCTTGTTACCGGTGATAAGCCCTCTGTAGTTCATTAATATTTATTTCTCCAAGTATATATTCGTCCCAGTAGAGTTTAGCTTAGCACCAAGTTTGTCAAATTGTATACTTATGTATTGATCCATATAACGAGGTTAAGAACTGTGCATTGCGTGTCCATTTATCTTTTCGTGATTATTATACAGTGGAGGCTTTCTGTAATATGTATTATGCATGGATTTGGATCGTCAGAAAATATCATATTATTGGTTCACAATCACTCATTTAAAAATTATACACTTTTTTTTTTCTTATCTTAAAAATGATTAAATAATATGATCATATAACCACTTTTTCACGTAAGAGGATCCATTCCAATTATGCACATAGACAATGTTGGAAACTTGGAATTTAGAAGCAAAGAAAATGAGCTGATTACGGGAAAAATATAGTAAAGGAAAATAATATCTTATCGTTTTGCAATATTACTCGTGTTAGAAATTTATTTTATGGGCAATATTAATTAATTAGTTTTGTATTTAAAATTAATCGGGTTAATGAATATTTCAATATTATTATTGTAACTAGCTCATTGTGATCATATTGAATTGGGCTTCTGGCATCTGTTGTTATTGGGCCTAGTTGGGCAGCAGTGTAGGCTTTAGTGTGACCCTGGTTTTCCATGATGGGTGGACTCAGTGGACACAGACTCTTCTCTGGGTTATTAGCTAGGTCCCCTCTTTAGCCTATATATATTGGAGTTAAGCTCCATAAGCCATCATGCTCCCATCGCTGAGGCTGCCTTTATCGAAATAGGTGATAGAGAGGAAGATCTGGCATTTAGTCCCTTCAATCTTTCGGCTTTGTGACGATCCAATAAGGTACACATAATCCCAACTTTGATATCATATTGTTTAGGTATTTTATAATTATATACATGATTCAGGGTTAAAATGTATCTAACAACTCGTTGTAATGTTTGCCGGAGCCAGGCTGTAAATTTAGCCCGGACCAAAAAAAATTACATATTAAATTCTCAAAATGTTTATCGTAATTACATATATTTATTAGAAAAAAAATTTACTATGAATTCTAGCATACAGATCTAAATGATTTACTAAATAATCTCACATAACATTAAAAATTCAAATGAACAATTGCCAATGATTATATATCAAAGCAAACATAAAAGCACTAACCTTTCCGGTAAGAATTTCAAAAATAAGAATTGCATTTTCCTCCCACATCATAATAAGTAATGAACCAAGTATTGTCCTAAGGATATGAAAACACACAAATATAATAATTATAGGTATAATAACATTTAATAAATAATTTAAAATATAATAAAAAATTGCATACCTAAAAGTGTAAGCGGCGCTCTTTTAAATTAACGAAATCTTCCAGGATCGAATCTGTAGTAAAAGTTTCAGCAATATCTCTTTCAACATACACAACCAAATTTTAACTCTTTGAGCAATTATAAGGAGGAGCACCATTATGTACGTAAAAAAGAATTTTGGCTATCCGAAATTCCTTCTTAGCATATTAAGTACCCTAAACACTTCAGTAACATCAATAAAATGCTTCCTTTTCACATACCTGAATCATTAAAATTAAACAATAATTAACTCACTAGAAAACATAACAAGTTCATATTAAAAAGTACAAATAAGCTAAACCAAGAGTTTATATAATTCCATCTCCATGTAACTTGGGTGATGAATTGCAAATAAAAATATCTGCCATGTGCCCATTGTCCACTAATAGATGATTTAATTGTCCCAAAAAAAAAAAAAGAGAAAATTTTATTACATTTATATTCACATAATATTCTATTCAAGTGTCTTGGTGGTAGATCTAACTTTAAATCTGAATAAAAAGAACTAAATAGTACTCTTTAAAAAACCCACACATAAAAAAATAGAGTTAGCATCATCAATCAATTATATATACTTTGTTACTGCTTAATAGGACCAATATGTTGTTCAAAATGTCCACGGGTCGCACGCAAAAAGAACAAACACTAACAGAGCAAAGATGATAAAGACCGATGCCATAAAATGATAAAATAATAAATGGTCACCTAAGGTTTTTGCTCCCACTTTGAGGAAAGTGGTGCCTTTATCGGTGCTAAATTTGCAGAGAAAGAACAAAAATTGAAAGAGAGGCATCAGCGTTAAAGTGGTGCCTTTCCACTATGAACTTTTTGTTGGGGAAAAAAATTGAAAGAACAAAAATTCCTAAAAACTAGTTGGGTTAAAGGTAAGCGCCTTAGCTTAGCTCCATTGGCAAAGAAAAAAGCTGAAAACGGAAAAAAAAGAAGCCAAATACCTGGTGAGAGAGAGAGCCTGACCTTAGAAGTTAGAACAGGAGCGGGAAGATGAAACATAAATTAAGAGAGTCAAAGAGTGACAACTTTATTAAATATTTTTTAATTTTATTAAATACTTTTAATTTTTTTTGGTTACAAGTTGAAATGGAACACATAACTTGATACAACCTACTCAAATCCTTCATCAAATATATTTTAATTTTAGCCCGGGCTAAATTATTATTAATTATATAATTATATATAATAAGTAAAATTTGTTAAAATTTAGCCCGAGCCCAGACACCCTCCAGCCAATACGTGGCTCCGCCACTCGCCACATTTGTAATTTATTAATCTGATTTACAATACTTAGGAAGAGAAAGTAATATATCTTGAAAAACTTTTACATTTATGAGTAGTAAATAGAATAGGTACAAATATAAAACTACTTAAATTGAGATTTTTTTTAAGAAAAAATGTTTGTCCTTTTAAATGACACAACTTATGTTATTTCACTTTTACAAAAAGTTAGGACTCACATTTTTATATTTTTTTATCTACTCTCTTTCCTCCTTTATCTATCTCTTTCTCTCACTTAAAATGATACAACTTTACATCCTTTAAAATGATACACATTTTACCTTTTCTTTATAGGATATTTTACTTATTTTTTTTATAGTATATTTTACTTATTTTTTTTAAGTCTATTTTATCTATTCTTTTCTAATAGCGTTAGATCATAATGTAAATTAATCTTTATTTTTTTTCTCTTTTCATGATGAGATTTTAATTCAATGATATTGGAATGAGTAGGTAGAGTAAGACATAAAAATAAAGAAGATATAATATTTTATTTTATTTTTTTACCAAAAAGTTTGCCCAGTCGGCAATTTACATAACCAGCATGTGTTACGAGGCAAGCGAAGCCAAAGAAAAAGTTTTTTCCTTCGGCCAAAGCCAAACTGCCATTTTAACAGCATTAACACAAATGATAGTAGAAAAAGAATATGGCAAAGGCAACAACCGCATGCTCGACAATGTCACATTTCTCACTGTGAATATCAAAAAAGCAAAAAGCAAAATGTTAATCCTTTAACTTTTACTCGGTGAAAAATCTAACCTTTTAAATTTTGTCCTCTTAAATTTTAAGTAAATGCTGAACTGAACATAGCTCCAAAACACGAAGATTGATTTGATTCGACACGTGGCCTTGTACAGTCCGTTAGATTGGAAACTTATGTGCGGGTTATGATCTCCTGCGTCTTGGTCTACAATAAGCAAGCCCTTATAATATTCTCTGAACACGAGATGGACATACGAACGGCTAGGATTGAACGTTTTCACGAGACGAGCATGAAGATTCCGTAATAGTTCCAGCGGTTCACGAGGCTTGGGCGATAAGATTTATTCGCGCTATGACACTATGCTTAATGCTTATTGAAAAGAAAATAGAAAGTGAAATTAATTTCCATTTTGTGGTTTGATAGTTAGCCCTCAATTTAAATGAAATATCGGAAATGAAACATCGAGTTTTTTGAGTTCTCAGGCGCCATCAAAGATCAGCGTTGGATGATTGAAACAAAAATAAAATTAAATCTTATAATAACTCATAAAACTAGTTGTACAGAGGTGTAAATGGGTCAATTCATCTACTAAGAAAAAATATTCAATCCATCGGAATATTTAACTCGATATTTCCTTTTATCAAAAAGAAAAAATAATCCATTTTATCTATTTTTTATATTTTTCTTTAAATTTAATTTTTTTTCTTTTTTAGTAAAAAAAATACCGAATTCGGTGATCCCGATATATTAAAGTTTTTCAATTTTTCTCATCTATTAAGAGCTTACGGGTTAGGCAAATTAGGTCAGACTTAATATATTTGATGAAATAGAACATATTTAGACTTTAAAAAAAATATTGTTCAAAAATTAATTCGAGCCATTTTTTACAAAGCTTGACTTACAGGTTATGGAATAGTCTATATCATATTATTTTCTTTTAATTAAACTAAAATAATAATTTATATAATTTTAATTAATAACAAATTATTTTATATATTTTATGATTTTTATAATTATTAAAGACTTTATAGACTTAAACATACTAATAAATCTATGCTAGACCTTTAAATTTTTAAATGTAAGTCAAACCAAGTTTATAAGATAACTTATAAGAGGTTAATAGGTTTCATTAAGCTTAACATTTTGTATAAGACTAACCTATTTAGATAAAGTATAGCCCGATTCACCCTGTGTTTGCCCCCTACATGCATGGCTGCTCAGGTCCACTTTGTTATAGGTTTGGCCGAAGTTGGGTATTCTAAATTTCATTCTAGTTAGTTAATTATTAGTTTAAAAATTTATTATGAATTCTAAAGAAAAAAATGTGTATCATTTTAAATGATAGAAGTTGTATCATTTCATAGACATATGAGAAAAGATTCACATCTTTATTTTTTTTAGTGGGACTCATACTTTTTTGTATCTATGAAATGACATAACTTATATTATTTAAAATGATATAATTTATATCATTTAATATGATACACACTTTTCGCATTCCTAGTTTTACATTTTAAGGCGTGTAAAGTTGGGTGGCTCACCTTGGTCAACTCTGTTCAAATTTTCATTTTCAGGTCAATTAATATTTTTAAAGTTTGAATCATAAATTAAAAAGTGAGAACACTAAGTCATGGTTTAATTAGATAGTTAATTAAATTATTTTTTAACCATGATTAAAATAAATAATATAATAAAAAGGATCAGATAAAAAATATGACTGTTTCATG